AGGAAAATGATCATATAACAATAATCTGGTAAAAGCTGGGATCTCTGGGCATGTCCCCTGCAACTGAAATAAACCCCTCTCATTTGGGACTGAGGTTTCTGGGACAGAGAGATTTGATTTAGCCAAGGTTGACAGCAGTGGGTAACGTTGTGCATTGTCTTTCCACCACTTGAGAGGACAAGCTATGAGTGAGATAGAGGTCTCTTTGCGGTACAAGTCAATGTCTGCATCAATCTGAACAGTGTGCTGTGTTCTGCAGTCCCCATGACTGTTTTTAGTCGTATTCCCCGACTTATATTTCACCACAGTCTGGCAGTGCCTGCATACTGTTTTTTTCTTTGTCTGTCACCTTTTCTCCTTTTTCGTATCTTTTTAGAAAGAAACCGAAATGCTTCCACACATCCGATTTAAAACCCGCTTTAGGTTCGATCATTTCCAGCTCTTTTTCTTCCCCGCTACTAACAACAGACTCCATTTCCACATTACTGGATCTGTAGTGACAACAGACAGCAAAGGATGATGGCCACGCCTAGGCTGATGGGAATTGTAGTTCCCGCTCCCTCCCGTTCGCTTCATTCGCCTAAGCAAACTTTTCTCAGCAATATAGTTTTATTGAGTCATGCGCCTACGGTAATATTGAAAAAAATTACTATTGCGGTATGACGGTATTTATAATATTGTTACATCCCTAATATATATATATATATAAGATCTTATACATTGTATCATTTGTCACTGAATGACTTTCAGAGCTCAGCCGTGAAGAGCGTGATCATGTCACTTGCGTGATGACGTACATCACAGGCCCGCTGCTGCCAGCGCTTAGCAATTCGCTCCGTCGCAGAAAGTTTTAGGTACAAAATGAGTGCCCTAAATACAGATGTGTATGAACAAGCTTCCACTAGTAAGAATGCAGACGACTTAGTTGATGAGAGAGGAAAAACTAATGCAGTAGTTTGGAAGTGGTTCGGTTTTTAAAGTTCCGATAAACTTAGTTTAGATGCTCTGCAAAATGTGCGGGAGAGTGGTGCCGAGTAGCATCAGGAACACATCAAATCTGTTTCTCCAGATAGAACAGTGGTCGGGAACCAATGGCAAAACCCACCATGCAGCTTTTGCGGCAAAGTACAAGATGAGCAAAAGCCGAAAGATAAAGGTAGTCAATTTTGTCTAATCAGCTTTCTTACATTTACAATCACTCTCATTGATTGGTGATTATGGTTTTACGCACAGTGAGCAGCGAAAATAAATAATGACATAGTGGCCTCCTAAATAACGTATGTACTTTCAAAAATAGAAATATATAAATAGACTATATAAAATATAGAAGAACTATTTTGTGTTAAACTTTTTATTTTAATTAGGCAATTACACACACAAATATAAATAGACAGATATAACCCTTAAAAGGACGTTCAAGATGAAAAGCAACCAGAACTATGAATATACTCATCTGTTTGTATAGGCTAAATACAAATAAAAAGTGAACATTATTTTTTTTTTGTACTTTTTTTAATAATAAAAAAAACAGCTATAAGAGCCTGGAGGTATTATTTTGCAAATTCAGTTTGCAGACATTTGTAGGTACAGACATCTATTGTGTGCGTTCTTTTCCTGGCTTTTTATTTTGTCCATATCGATATCGGAATGATATTATATCGACCGAAATTAAGAAATATATTGTGATATAAATTTTTGCCATATCGTCCAGCCCTAGTGCAGCCCTACAGTCACATATGCTAAGGAGGTTTTAAATTTTATGTAGGAGTGTAAATATTGTAGTTATGACAGAGTTAAATGTGTTCAGATAAAGAGAAAAACTGACGACAAATCTATCGATCACGTTAAAATAACAGAGTTAACATACATGTATTTTCACACATTATTTCACCAACTTTTCCAAATCAGCGTCTGTTTGGTGGTTTTTAGCAGATCTATAAAGTCAATTCTCCTCGGGTTCACTCAGGTCAGAACACACAGAGGATCACTTCTAAAATACAGATGATCATCTCACACTTATTAACCGCAAATATCTCACAGAGCAATTTGTCTGCAATCCAACAATATAATTACTGTTACCCGGCTCCTGTCTCACTTCAGACCAAAAACAAAGCAGTGTTTGTGAGTGTTAAAGCCCTTGTACTTAGTCTCGCTGTAAAAATCCATCTGAACTTCAATGCTTCTACAGTCTCCACCTTTTTCCTTTACACCCCATGGAGCTTTCAGGAAAACTCCCTAACAGTCAATGATGAAAGGATTTTCAGTTTTGGGTGAGCTCTCCCTTTAAGGTTAACAAATTTATAACAAAAGTCACAAAGTGGTGCAAAAAATATTAAGAATATATATAAATATAAATGTAAAGAAGTCTTTGTGACCTGTTTTTCCAAATGATTATTAGAGAAAAATGCATTTAAGGGAATGTTTAAGCATTCAAAAGCATGACATTTGCTGTTTGTTCAAACTACATGTTTAAAACAACCCAGGCTCATTGTGGAAACGTAGCCCCGCGGACGTTTCTGCGGACAGCGATTTACGTATTCGAGCGGTTTTTGTTTTCGCAGATTCGCGAGAGGCCTGCTGTGCCTGCTTTTTCGCTTCTCGGCCGGATCGGCCGCCCTCCTCTTCCTCTTCCTTCCCTAAACCCGAGCGACGGTTCGCAAAAGCCGTCCAGAAAAAAAAAAAAGCAAAAGCCCTCGTCTTCGATTTCGACCGCGTTTTCGGATCCCGCCGCGTTCTCGCCCTTATTTTTCGGATTCCGTTTTTTGTCTCACCTGATTTCCGGAACCGCTGTTCCCCAGACTCGATCCCGGTCGTCGTCCCCGCGGCCGGCTCCTCCTCCGGGGCCTCCGCTCCGCCGACGCAACGCTGTGAGCTAAGCGGACAAACTGGTTGCATCGGGAAAGCCCTCCACTCGGGAGGCGAGCCGTCGGCCTGCGATTGCGAAGAGGAGGGGCGGAGCGGCGCCACAACGCCGCGCAGTGTTCGCTCGAAAAAAACTAAACGCGGCCTTACGTACCTCCGGCCACGTAAATCACGGTCTCCAGAAATGTCCGCGGGGCTACGTTTCCAGAATGAGCTTGGGTTGGTTTAAAATGAACCGAAACAACACAACTATAGAGATTTCCCTGGGACAACTTAATTGTTCAACCCAGGTTCATTCTGAAAACGTAGCCCCGCAGACGTTTCTGGAGACCGAGATTTACGTGGCCTGAGGTATGTATGGCCGCATTTTGTTTTTTTGACACATGAGAACAGCATGGGCGCGAACGGCGCATGCTTCCAAGAGGCGTTCGAGACGCGAAAAAGCACACACAGCAGCCTTTACGAAAACAAAAACTGCACAAATACGTACCTCCCGGGACGTATTTTGTGGTCTCCAGAAACGTCCGCGCGGCTACAATTCCACAATGAGCCTGGGTTGCAATTGTTTTATGTTCAATCCACTTAAATTTGTAAAACTAATAACTTAACTTCATTCCTTCATGTTGCAACAACACAAATCAACTGTGTGGAGCTCAACATCTATACAGTGTAAAATACAATGAAGTCATTTGCAGGGTTTAACGCTAAAGATTTTTTCTACAGAGCCGATCGGGCCAGTGGTTGAGATTTTTATTTGCCCTGCAAAAATTTTCACTGCCACACACACAAAAAAAAGTTATTAGCAATTTCTTAGCCACATATTTTAAATAATGTCTGTGAATCTAGAATTTAAACATTTTAAAAATGTTAATAAACGTATAACATAACCCGTCTTTCGGATGAGACGTTAAACCGAGGTCCCGACTCTCTGTAGTCGTTAAAAATCCCAGGATGTCCTTCGAAAAGAGTAGGGGTTTAACCCCGACATCCTGGCCAAATCTGCCCACTGGCCTTCATCCATCATGGCCACCTAAACATCCCCATATTCAATTGGCTGCATCACTGTCTCCTCTCCACCAATCAGCTGGTGTGTGGTGTGCGGTCTGGCGCAAAATGGCTGCCGTCGCGTCATCCAGGTGGATGCTGCACACTGGTGGTGGATGAGGAGATCCCCCCACTATGTAAAGCGCTTTGAGTGCCCAGAAAAAGCTATATAAATGTAAGGAATTATTATTATTATTATTATTATTATTATAATGAGCTGGTGTTTTATTGCAATTCTAAATAATTTTAATAAAAACAGCTTGCAACTTTTTTTTTTTTTGCTTTTTCCATGTAATTGTCTACTTCCAAGTCTTTAGAAACAGACGTTTTCTTTTAGTTTCTTCTTTTAGTGCCTTATAGTTTGATGTTTACTGGTTGTTACCAAGTTATGGAAAAAATAACGTGCTAATCGTAACAGGCCGATAGGGGCCAGTAACAATCCTGTCTACTGTCCTTAGCGTCTTTCACACTGGCCCCAGGCCACCGGGCAGTCCTTATAGTTGAGCCCTGATATGGAAAAAAAAGTGTATTTCCTGATTGATTTATGAACCAATAGGAAGAGAGCAGCGTTGTTATTTTCAGAACTCAACACATGTTCTCTGAACGGGAACAGAAAGTAAAACTATAGCAGAATAACTGGGATGTTTCTCATTCATCAGAGCGTGTTCACACACTCTCAGTACAATACACACACTCTGCATTACCGCAGTTTACCCACACAATACTAGCTGCTGGCTTTCTAACAAATAACAACACTTCCTAAATATAATAACTGCATTATTACATTATAGGGCTGTGCAACATATAGTATGGACAAAATAAAAAGTCTTTAGTTTCTATAGGGCCACACAAGATATCAGAAAAATTTAATGCAGTATCTATGGACCTAAAGCTGAAACAAATAGACGACATAGAAAAATAACAATCGCTAATCAGAGTCAGAATTTTGCCGAGGCTTTCAGTCTAAATGTTTCATTTCATTTAATTAGCTCCGAAAAATGTAAAAAAAAATCTATTATATCTATGTAAATTTTAGCATGATCGTTACATAAATAGTACAAAAAAATTTAATTTCTAATAAGTTAGCATTTATTTTAAGTTTGTTATGTTGTAAGAAATATCGTTATCGCAACAATCAACAACAATATCGCATATTTTCTCAGTATTGTGCACTATTGTTCAGTTTTTCTAAAAAAAAATAAATAAATCACAACGAAACACCTTTCTTCTTGGGTATAATAAATGCATAATTACATTATAGGGCTGTGCAATATGACTATATATGCTATAGATAAAATAAAAAGTCTATTGTTTCTATAGGGCCGCACAGCATATTGGGAAATTATCGCTATTTCGATAACAGTATGCAAAATCCATGGATCTAGAGCTGAAATTAATAGACGAAAGAGGAAAATGACAACAGCCAAACAGAAACAGAATTTATGCCGAGGTTTTCAGTTTAAATGCTTGTTCTTTTATTATTTAATAAGCTCAGAGAAAATATATATTACCTGTATATTTTAGTATGATCATTAATACATAATAAATATAATAGTTCAACGATTATGAAAAATTTAGCTCTGTTATAATTCACTTACATTTTAATACTTTTTGGTGCACTATTAAAAAAACAGCAACAACTGAAGGTTTTGATTATTCGAGCTATTATTTAATTGAATTTTCAGAAATGTACTATACCGTGATTTATACCATTGTAAATTTGATTACTTAAATATCGTGATGTGAGATTTTTGTCATATCGCTCAGCACTATTACATAATAATTACAGAGTTTTACAAAATCATTTTTAAGTAACATGACTCTGGAGACCAAAGTATCATATGACAGCGTCACAGTCCATTATCCATAGTACTTTCTGTAACAGATACATTAACTTACACTTCATTTTAAGGTGTATGTTTAGTTGGTGTTAGGTTTAGAATGCGTGTAATTATCATAACTAACTATAATTATATTGCTTATATGATAACAAGGTCACGTTAAAATGAAATTATTCAACATGAAAACTGACAAAATTTAAATTACACTTTAATTTGGCCGACGTTGCTGCAGATATACTATAGTATATACAGTGAATTATGCATAATTACATGTAACCAACCCTAAACTTCTTACCCCAACCATATGGTAAGTAGGCTAAATGTAATTAATTAACATTTACGTTACTCAGTCGTTAAATGAAGAGTTACACCGTAACTACGCCACCTTCAAATAAAGATGTTTTGATTTTAAGTTAGTTTTAACACTTCTCCGCAGTTATTTGTCAATATTAAGATAATTTTATAAACTATTTTCTCATAATTGATGTCTTTGTAATCTGATTATCCGGGAACAAGTCCTGACAGATCCATAGGCAGCGCTTCAGCACCGCACGGACGTGTGTTTATTACATGTGTAGCATAATGACACAAACACACACATACGCACACTTTCACACTCGCACACGTACCCGGTGAGCTGTTTTCTACTGTCGGTGTTCCCGGTAGAGATTCACAGCAGGTCCTGAAGTTGAAAGTCAATTCTGTGGGATGTTTTGGCAGTGTCCGGTGTCAGCTCCGCGTTCACGTGTGGGGAAAAAACTTCTTCCTGATCAGAACAGCGCAGCGGTGACGCAGCAGGGCGGAAACAGCGACATCCGAAGGACAGCACGTGAACTGACACACCAATCTAAGAATGTTTACATTGAGTGTGTACATTATTGCTCATTCATTATTAGTAGTATTATATTAATGCAATATCAATACATTACATCAATACATCAACAAATATATTATATATTAACATTTACGATATACAATTCATAAATAAAGTATGCTTTATTGGAATATTAGCCTGTTTATATGATTGTTTCAATACTATTATTTTAAAAAATAAACCATTTTTATTTCATTAATGTGTATTTAATTATAACAGCTATCATGTAAATACAGTTATATTACTAGAATATTAAGATCTTATTAATGTGATATAAATACAATGTTGATATTATATATATTTACATGTATTTAACACTTTATTCAAATAGTAGCCTGTTCATGATTATTATTTCAATCCTTTTTTTAAAAATAAACCAATTTTATTTTATTAATATGTATTTAACAGCAACAGCTAACATGGAAATACAGTTACATTAAAAAAGAATATTAAGATGCATATTGATTTGTTATATAATATTTTATTAAATTATATTGCATATTTATTTTAATTATAAACAATTTTTTATTTTAAGAATACAAATGTAATGATAATAGTAATACTATAGTCATAATAATATTAATAATAATCAACAGAAATATTATGATTATGATCAATTATATAGTAATAATAATAATAAACATGCATTTATGTAAACATATTTGTTATTAATACTGCTAAATATTACTTTTTATTAATAGAATATATTAAAACAGAAACATCACCTACAAATATGAATAATAATTAATGTTTAAAAACGTATAATAAATAGAAAATTTATATTTAATTATGATTAATATGGTAGTTAATTTAAGTTTTCATATTATATATTTAAAACAACATAAGCTGAATATTATAAATACTTTAATAATAATAATAATATTTATAATAATAATAATAATAATAATAAAAGTAATAACAAATGTATATTTTATTAATATGTATTTTCTAAATAATTATAGTGCTTTATTATAATTTCATAAAGTTATTAATAAGTACTAAAATCAATCAATAAATTAAAATTGACTATAAAAATTGTAAAAAAAAAAATAATAAAATAATAATAATAATTAAAAAAGCCCTTGACGTGTTTTTAAATATCCATATTATGACCATTTTATTTACATAAACCTCACAGAAGTATGATCACTATTATAAAGTTAATATAAAAAATTAAATGTAAAAAACATCGTGGTTTATTTATAATTTCATGTTGTCTTTAAGTACTAAAATCAGTCAACAAATTAAAAATGTGAAGTTCTGACTGAAAAAAATCCCTCGACATGTCATTAAATATCCATATTATGACCATTTTATTTACATATTCCACACAGAGGTATAAAGTTTGCAGACAAGCCACCAACAGGCTCTTGAAATGTGCTCACATGATCAATATTACTTCATGCTTACATTGATATAAATATCTCAACATGACTTACATCCAGCCCAAAAAAACTTGCACAACATTTACATAAAACATCTTTCAACAAAACAAATTCATAAATAATGATGACACATTACCCTTCAAAAGTTTGAGGCCTGTTCCATTTTAAAATCTTTTATTCACACCAAGGACAATTTTTTTTTAATCAAATATATAAATAAGAAAATTATATAAACTTTTGAGCGAGATGCTAATGGTCTAATCTGATTGAATGATTTATGCTAAGCTAAGCTAAAAGTGCTCTTGCTATAACTAAAATTTTATACTATTAATATATTAATACTGAATTATCAGCAATGAATTATTCATGAGTTTTCAAAAATTATTCTGAACATTTGTTTGAAAAAAGATTAAAGGAATACTTCATTTTACAGCTCCACTAGAGTTAAACTGTTGAGTTTTACCACTTTGAATCTATTCAGCAAATTTTCACAACCGGCAAGAGCAATTTTAGATTAGCTTAGCACAAGCCATTGAATCAAATTAGACCATTAGCATCTCTCTCTAAAAAAAAAAAGAATTATTTTCCCATTTGAAGCTTGACTCTACTATGGTAACATCGTGTACTAAGACTAGCCGAAAAGTTTAAAGTTTTCTAGGTTGATGTGACTAGGAACTATACTCTCTTTCTGTCGTAGTAATCAAGAACTTTGCAGCCATACCATTGGCTATAGAAGCGCAATGATATTATGAAGTGCTGTTATTTAGTTACCCAGCTGGGCACTATTTTCAGGTGCAATACTACACAAGAGTAAAGCTTTAAATAGGAGGATCATCTAAATTCTTTTTTGAAAATTTTCAGACGCTAATGGTCTAATCCGATTCAATGAATTATGCTAAGCTAAGCTAAAAGTGCTTTCGCCAAAACTGAAAATTGTCTGAATTAATTGAAAAGTGGTAAAAATCATTTGCTTAACTCTACAATTGTGACTATATATATTATTAATATCAATACTGAATTTTAGCAATGAATTATTCATGAGTCTTCAGAAATCATTCTGACATACAGAACATTTATTTGAGAAAAGATTAAAGGAATACTACATCTTAAGAAAAAAAAAGCCAAATTTTACAGCTTCACTAGAGTTAAACAGTTGTGTTTTACCACATTTGAATGCCCTACCAGCCACAACCCATCTCTGGGAAACATCCACATACACTCATACACTACGGACAATTTAGCCTACCCAATTCACCTGTACCGCATGTCTTTAGACTGTGGGGGAAACCGGAGCACCAGGAGGAAACCCCCGCGAACGCAGGGAGAACATGCAAACTCCACACAGAAACGCCAACTGAGCCGAGACTCGAACCAGCGACCTTCTTGCTGTGAGGCAACAGCACTACCTACTGCGCCACTGCTTCGCCAATCATAAAAACTCTTTTTGGAAAATTTTCAGATGCTAATGGTCTAATCCGATTCAATGATCTATGCTAAGCTACGCTAAAAATGCTCCTGCCAGACAAAAAATGGTAAATTTCAACAATTTGTTTAACACCAGGTGAGCTGTAAAATGAGCCTATTTCCAAAAATAAAACAAAAAACGTAGTGTTTCTTACATTTTTGTGTAGATTTTTGTTGGAACGGTGACACATTTGGCATTCTTTGATCAATAGACAGTTATACTTTATTAAATACTCATTTTTGATCCATTTAATAATTTAAAACATTCCTTTTTAACTCATCTGACCCCAAACTGTGTCCAGCAGTACAGCTAATACGCTCTTAATCTCCTTCAAAGTATGAAAAGAGGTCTCATAAAACTCAGACAGGAAAAAACTTCACTTTCAAGCTCATGATTCCAAACTCTAATAAAAAAAAACAAACACACAACACGCAGTGTCCTCTGTTAATACTAGCAGCCTTGGTAAACAGGAGCAAAGAAAGCTTCATTGATCTTTTGTTCAAAATAAAACCAAAAAAATCAAATGTTTGCTTTTAAAAGAGGGTAGGGGCTTCATGCTAAGACTTTAGTTGAAGGGGGTGTTCATGACACCTCCATAATCACGATGACATGCCATGAATATGATTACGAGTTTGTGCATGCTACTGATAACAACTCTCATTAAGTGTCTTTAGCTCTGTGCATGCATTCATTCATTTTCCTTCGGCTGAGTCCCTCATTGCCACAGCGGAATGAACCGCCAACTTATGAATCATATGTTTTACACAGCGGATGCCCTTCCGGCTGCAACCCAGTACTGGGAAACCCCATACACACTCACATTCACACACATAGAGCCAATTTAGATTATTCAATTCACCTCTAGTGCATGTCTTCGGGCTGTGGGGGATACTTAAGCCCCCGGAGGAAACCCAAGCCAGCGATAAAATCCGAAAAAGTGATAAAAATCAGAAGAGGGCTTTTCTTTTTCTGGACGGCTTTTGTAAATTGTTGGTTGGGTTTAGGGAAGTAAATGGGTGGGCAGGTCAATTGGCAAAATTGGTTGGGTTTAGGGAAGGAGGAGGGTGGGTCGCTCAGTAAATCATTCAGTCAGTCACACAGATGGTCGTACGACAGCGCCCTCTGGTGGGTTTACGCGATAATAGCGTGGGTGTGAAGGGCACTCGCGAGAGACATTTGAGATGTGAAAAAGCGCACACAGCGGCCTCTCGTGGATTCAAAAAAACAAAAACTGCAAAAATAGGTACCTCCCGGGACGTATTTCGCGGTCTCCAGAAATGTCCATGGGATTACGTTTTCAGAATGAGCCTGCGTTGAAAAGATCATTAAACATAAAACAACATTTTCCAAATCATTCTTTCCTCTTATTTACCAAGGATGCCAATATTAGTGTATGGTGTCAAACTGTTCAGAAACCTGTAAATAAAGAGAAGCAGCATCTCGAATCAGCATCGTCTTCTTCGTCTTTCGTGGCAGAATATGAGAAAGCCTGCAGATCCGCACACCGAGACGAAGCCACACTTTGAGACAAGCCGGCGCGGGGGGGAAAAGCCCTTGTGTTTGGCTGCTGTGTTGCTCTAGCTTATCTTCTGGCTGAGGTGGAGGTGAAGCTGTGGGGTTTTCATGTCCGCCGGGGCTCTAGACGGTGGGACAGCTGTGATAGACTGCGCTGGTTATCGATCACGCTGATGTGGCGGACGTAAGTGCGCACGTCCTGATGGCTTTTACCCGTCGCCTGCGGAGCTTCCTGATCTGTAGAGGAGAATAAAAGAATCACTTCAGCTTGAGCTGGGTTCCACACAACTCCTTCATGTTGTCGCGACACAAATAGATTATTAATTCATTCATTCATTCGTTTTCCTTCAACTTAGTCCCTTATTTATCAGAGGTCGCCACAGTGGAATGAACCACCAACTATTCTGGCATATGTTTTATGCAGCGGATGCCCTTCCAGCCGAAACCCAGTACTGGAAAACACCCAAACTGTCTCGCATTCACACACACGCACACACACACACACCCACTCATACACTACAGCCAATTTAGATTACAGTGCGTCCGGTAAGTATTCATAGCTCTTTACTTTATTCACATAATGACAATGTGAAAGAAGAGTTTTTGAAATTGTTGCAAATTTATTAGCTATAAAAAAGCTGTAAAATCACATGCACATTAGTATTCACAGCCTTCACTCAATACTTTGTTAATGCTCCTTTGGCAGCAAATACAGCCTCAAGTCTTTTTGAATATGATGCCACAAGCTTGGCACACCTGTCTTTGGGAATTGTTGCCAGTTCCTCTTTGCAGTACCTCTCAAGCTCTATCAGGTTTGATGGGAAGTGACGGTGTACAGCCATTTTCAGATCTCTCCAGAGGTGTTCAATAGGATTTAGGTCTGGGCTCTGGCTGGGCCACTCAAGGACATTTACCGAGTTGTTCTGAAACCACTCCATTGATACTTTGGCGTTGTGCTTTGGGTCACTGTCCTGCTGGAAGATGAACCGTCGGCCTAGTCTAAGATCAAGAACACTCTGATGCAGGTTTTGATTCAGGATGTCTCTGTACATTGCTGCATTCATCTTTCCCTCTATCCTGACTAGTCTTCCAGTTCCTGCTGCTGAAAAACACCGCCACAGCATGATGCTGCCACCAACATGCTTCACTGTAGGGATGCTGTTAGCCTGGTGATGAGCGCTGCCTGCTTTTCTCCAAAACTTAACACCTGGCATTCACTCCAAAGAGTTCAATTTGAGTCTCATCAGACCAGAGAGTTAAGTTTCTTATGGTCTGAGAGTCATTTAGATGCCCTTTGGCAACATCCAGGTGGGAAGTGGCTTCCATCTGGCCATACAGGCCTGATTGGTGGATTGCTGCACAGATGGTTCTGTAAGGTTCTCCTCTCTCCACAGAAGAATGCTGGAGCTCAGACAGAGTGACTATCGGGTTATTGATCACCTCCCTGAGTCAGGCCCTTCTCCCGAGATCACTCAGCTTAGATGGCCGGCCAGCTCTAGGAAGAGTCCTGGTGGTTCCAAGCATCTTCCACTTATGGATGATGGAGGCAGCTGTGCTCATTAGAACTTTTAGAGCAGCAGAAAGGTTTCTGTAACCTTCCCCAGCCTTGTGCCTGGAAACAATCCTGTCTCGGAGGTCTACAGACAGTTCCTTTGTCTTCATGCTTGGTTTTTGCTTTGACATGCACTGTCAACCCTGGGACCTTATATAGACTGGTGTAAGCCTTTTCAAATCATGTCCAATCAAGTATTCATTATTAGCTTGTAGCTAGTCAATGCTACACTGATGAGTCAAAAGAAGTCTATAATGTTCTGAAGCAGAAATATTGATGTTGCGCCGCTCACATTTTCTTCAGAAAACATACATTTATAGTTATTATTATTATAATTGCATGCCTTTTTAAATCTGGTACTAGCTTGATTATAGCAATATACTAATCGGGCAAACGTAACAGTTAGGACATTTTTAGTAATAGTTTAACCTTTGACAAAGTTTATAACATGTTTTAAAGTAACTTAGCATACTTTATATGGATTTGCAGCATGTTTTAGTGTTTAGTTATTCGATATTAGCTTGTAGCTAGTCAAAAACGACAATTCCCAGGTCTCTATGATGTTCAGAAGCAGAGATATTGTGATGTTGCGCCGCTCACGTTTTCTTCAGAAAACTTACATTTATAGCTATTTTTATTATTACTATTGCACGCATATTTAAATCTGCTGCTTTTCGCAGGTAGTTAAAACAAATGTTAACAAAGTGTATTACAGATATGACGATACGACTACATTGTCTGAGAGTGCTTTCACACCTGTGAATCGATTCAGTTGTTACAAAACAGAGATTAAAACTGTTACATTGTTGCTCTTTGTTCTTGGTGTGGTTCGCTTTCACACTGCAAAGTTTCTAAATGGACCAAAAGAGCTAAAACAAGTCACGTGTGAGTAAACTCTCCTCACATTGGTCAGAGTTAAATGGCTTATTAAGGGCCTGCTCACACTTTGCCATCCATACCGTGCCCAGGCCCGTTTCCCGGATTGTTTGAGAAGTGTGAGTGCGCTGAATCGGGCTCAAGCACGGTTCACTTGGCCGGCCCTGGCCCGGTTGGAAGAGGTGTGCCAGAGCGCGGATCACTTGGGCTTTGGTGCGGTACGCTTGTGTGTGAGTGCAAAACGCGCCAAAGCCAGAAACTGAAAGCGAGACGGGACTTTTAAAGGGGCTGTTTCATATGGATTTATTAATCATTCTTACTGTTCAGTGAACGCAAACTGCCGTAGTTTATTAAAGACGAGATCTCCTCACTGCACGTCAGCTGCACGGCTTCAGCAGACCTCCTCATTCCTGCAGCACGAGAGCTTTATGATTGTTTATGAGCGCCAAAAGTGGCGGATCTGCGGCGAAATATCTGACTGCGTGTCACCGCATCCCTAAGGACTGTTTGGCGAAATATTTGACTGCATGTCACTGCATAACAAACGACTGAAACGATATAACTAGAGAAATCTCCGCTGTGCTGCTGAGTGAGAGAGCGCTTCTCACTGAACAGCGCAGCAGCGATGACGTAAGCTTGCCGAGGCCCACTTGTGGTGTGAGTCCGGGCCGTTGGGGGAGACGGGAGGGGGGACAAGCGTGCTTTGGCCCGGTTTGAGGCAACTGTACCTAGTGTGAGTACGGCCTTAGCAGAGTCCCGCTCAGCTGTCAGGAGAGGTGGTGGTCTAGGTGTGAAAGCACTCTGAGCGTGCTTTCACACCTACACTTTTGTTTCGGAACGTGTCTCGTTTGCCCAGTTAGCGCGGTTCGTTTGGCATATGTGGACAGGGCAATCACGCTCTGTTCCGCGCCAAAGTATTCGCTCCGAGATCGCTTGAGTGAGGTGGTCTCGGCTCGATTGAAACGAACCCTGGAGCGGTTCGATTGCAGTGAGAAAGCGATCCGATCCGAGTGCGGTCATATCACAGTGTTTTTGGATATGTAATAGGCTTACGGCTATATGAAGAGAGAATTATGAGTAGGGCGGGAAGTTTCGCGAGTCTCCGGATGCCCACAAACGAGTGATGATCTCCCGGTAATCTTGCATCTCCCTCCCTCAAATAGGCATCGTCGCGCACACTTCTCACCCCTCCCCACCGCGTCTCTCCTCAAACATGTCGCGCGCACGCACCCTGTCAATCCCCACCAAACCACCACCTCTCCTGACAGCTGAGCGGGACGCTGCAAAATAAACCCTGACACTCTGACCAATGTAAGGACAGTTTACTCGCACGTGACTTGTTTTAGCTCTTTTGGTCCGATTAGAAACTTTGCAGTGTGAAAGCGAACCGCTCCAAGAGCAAAGAGCAACAATGTAACAATTGTAATCTCTGTTTCGGAACAACTGAATCAATTCACAGGTGTGAAAGCACCCTCAGATTACAATGTAAGAGGTTAGAATAGAAATGAAGATGAATTGAATTGTTTTCTTACCAAATGGTTGACTTCTGCAGTATCTTATGATTCTGACTGTGTTTGCAATCATTCTCTGGAAACACACACACACACACACACGTTAAACAAGTTAAAATAGTGTCAGAAATGATGGAAAAGAGTCTTTGGAAACTCACCATCTTCTCAAAGTTGACCAGTCGGTCAGTGAAGGTCTTGTTTCCCTCGTGTGTGAAAGTCATGTCTGCAAGCACACAGATGTTGATGCAAACATTAATTCTTCACATTCTTTGCTTCTACTCAATGAAATGCTTGAAATAAATATTTTATGAATGAATTTATTTCCAAATGTAGTAGTTTTAAAATGAGCACTACTGCAGGGGTGCCACTAGGGGGAGGAGGTGTAGGGGTTAGGTTGATTCTAAGTTCCCATGCAGTCTTGGGACCCCCAGAGATATTATTAGGGGCCCAAATGACCCAGCACTTCACTTTCGACCATGACAATATCCCTGCCTGACCCACCCCCAGTTTTCACTTTCGTTTTCGACACCCCCCGGTCTTCACTTTCGTCCACGAAAGCTGTCAGAGAGCCTGTGCCCAATAAATATTGGTAAAAAACTCACCTTTAATTAATAAGGGCATGAAGGGGATGATGGGGGGTTCTAGCTTGGCCATTGTAAGTCGATATGCTCTGTGATTTCTGGAGGGATCCTGAAAAGAGAAAGACAACAGATCTTTTGAGTACACCGTGTTTGACCAAATTTGTCATGGCCGGCTCTGGTCAATAATATCGCTATGATCAACTTACCATTAGGTTTTCAAACTCTCCATAAAACTTCTTGAATTTGCTGGGCAGCTTCTGTGAGAGATGCTCAGTCGATTAAACGTGGCTAGGTAAAACCACTCGTGTATCTCTCTGTGTGTAATAAAATGTGTGTGTGTGTGTGTGTGTGTGTAGAGTAACTATAAATTATAATCAGTTACTGAACACGAGTTACATGACAAAATTTGTAGGCAGTAATATGATCGCTCTGATTACACATGTAGGGGAATGTAATCTGACTACTTCTGGATTACATTTAGATTACTTTTGTGTCAACCCTTATTTGAAGTGGAACAATCTTGTACTTTTCTGTCACATATAAAGAAAATATATCATTCTTTATTGCTCATAAACCACCAAAACCAACATGGTTTGTGTGTGTTTGTGTGTGTGTGTGTGTGTGTATTGGTTTTGGTGGTTTACAAGGACAGATAATTGTATAATAACATGAGTATGACCTCGTTGTACTCTCTTAAGGTGGTTTACGAGGACATGCCTTGTGTTCTAGTAACTCAATAAGCTTAAAAATGTATTTTGTCATCTAATACACACTTTTATACTGTATGAATTACATTACATCTATGGAGAGTGCTCATAAACCACCAAAACTAACATGGTGTGTGTGTGTGTGTGTGTGTATATTAGTTTTGGTGGTTTATAAGGACAGATATTTGTATAATAACATGGGTATGAACTAGTTGTACTCTCTTAAGGTGGTTTACGAGGACATGCCTTGTGTTCTATTAACTCAATAAGCTTAAAAACATATTTTGTCATGTAATAAGCACTTTTATACTGTATAAAAAGCATTACACCTATGGAGAGTGCTCATAAATCACCAAAACCAACATAGCATATGTGTATTGGTGGTTTACAAGGAAATATATTTGTATAATGACATGGCTATGACTTAGTACTCTATTAAGGTAGTTTATGAGGACATGCTAGTAATTCTAGTAACGCTAATTAAAAAAAAATAATAAAATAAAATAATATTTTTTGTCATGTAATAAGCATTTTTATACTGAATAAAATACATTACACCAATAGAAACGGCTCATAAACCACCAAAACCAACATTGTGTGTGTGTGTGTGTGTGTGTGTGTGTGTGTGTGTGTGTGTGTGTGTGTGTGTGTGTGTGGGAACACTTACCTCCCATGTCTGACTGAGTCTACAGACCGCAGGGTTTCCCAGACCCATGATAATGGCAAAGAATGAGTTCAGGTTCTTAAACTCCTTACAGCTTGAAAAGAGCAAACACAGGACATTTAGAGAAGCTCAGCCTGGACACACACCACACACTCTACAATGCATTCACCGGTGTTCATGGCGTCGACGAATAATTTTTGTCACATTTTTCATCAGCAGCATTTTTTCACTCATGCAGACTAGACAAAAAATAAATGAAAATTGGTTTTGAATGACAAAAAGCTTTACTGACATTTTCATCAGTGAAGAAAGACAAAATAAAATTGTTTATGGAGGGACAATTTGCTTTGAGATCCAATTAGACCAGTGAGGTGATGTCCTTATGGTTACCAATGTGTAATTACAAATACATGTAAATACAGCTAAAGTCAAAATGATTAGCCCTGCTGGGATTATGCTTCTTTTTCCAACATTTCCCAAACAATGCTTAACAGATTCAATAATTTTTAATAGCATTTCCCTATAATATTTTTTCTTCTGGCGAAAGTTTGATTTGTTTTATTTTGGCTAGAATAAAAGCAGTTAAAAAAAAAAAAAATTAATAAAAAAAAAACTCACCATTCACTGCCATTATATAAATAGCCACAATTAACAAGAAATATAATATATTTTTTTCATGAATGACTCTTTAAAGGGAAGCTATTTTGCCCCTTTCTGTAAGTTTCAGCTCGAAATACCACGCAGATAATGTTTTATAACTCTCTAAAATTGCCCCTTTTAGATTTTAATCGTAATTGTGGCGTTTTGGTGACTGTTGATTTAAACTCAAATTGCACTCCTTCTCAATGCATGTCTTTAATTTACCTCAGTTTATTTCTATGTTATGCTTATTTTTTTATTCAGTTTTCAATTTCATCAGTTAATTAACTGGCAAAATCCTGTAGTTTTAAAAGTTTCTACAATATGCCCATAGGAATCCATGGCCAAAACAGTGAATAAATAAATAAATAAATTAATTAATTAATATACAACAATAATAAATAAATAAATAAAACATAATAAATAAGGAAATAACATAATAAATAAAACATAATAAATAAATATATAAAATGTAATAAATAAATAAAACTTAATAAATAAATGTCTTAAAATAATAATAATAATAATAATAATAAATAAATAAAACGTAATAAATAAATAAAAAAAACGTAATAAACAAATAAAAATAAATACTTAATAAATATATACAATAAATAAATAAATAATAATAATAATAATAAAAATTCTTCTGGAGAAAGTCTGATTTGTTTATTTTGGCTAGAATAAAAGCAGTTTTTAATAAAACAAAAAAACCAAAAACATTTTTAATAAAAAAAAAAAAAAAAAACTGTCACCATCCACTGCCATTAAATAAATCACCACAATTAACAAGAATTTATTTTTTTCATGATTGACTCTTTAAACGGAAGCTATTTTGCCCCTTTCTGTAAGTTTCAGCTCAAAATACCACACAGAAAATGTTTTATAACTCTCTAAAATTGCCCCTTTTAGGTTTTAATCGTAATTGTGGCGTTTTGGTGACTGTTGATTTAAACTCAAATTGCACTCCTTCTCAATGCATGTCTTTAATTTACCTCAGTTTATTTCTATGTTATGCTTATTTTTTTATTCAGTTTTCAATTTCATCAGTTAATTAACTGGCAAAATCCTGTAGTTTTAAAAGTTTCTACAATATGCCCATAGGAATCCATGGCCAAAACAGTGAATAAATTAATAAATAAATAAATTAATTAATATACAACAATAATAAATAAATAAATAAAACATAATAAATAAGGAAATAACATAATAAATAAAACATAATAAATAAATATATAAAATGTAATAAATAAATAAAACGTAATAAATAAATGTCTTAAAATAATAATAATAATAATAATAATAATAATAATAATAAATAAATAAATAAAACGTAATAAATAAATAAAAAAAAACGTAATAAACAAATAAAAATAAATACTTAATAAATATATACAATAAATAAATAATAATAATAATAATAATAAAAATTCTTCTGGAGAAAGTCTGATTTGTTTATTTTGGCTAGAATAAAAGCAGTTTTTAATAAAACAAAAAAACCAAAAACATTTTTAATAAAAAAAAAAAAAAAAACTGTCACCATCCACTGCCATTAAATAAATCACCACAATTAACAAGAATTTATTTTTTTCATGATTGACTCTTTAAACGGAAGCTATTTTGCCCCTTTCTGTAAGTTTCAGCTCAAAATACCACACAGAAAATGTTTTATAACTCTCTAAAATTGCCCCTTTTAGGTTTTGATCCTAATTGTGGCGTTTTGGTGAATGTCACTTTAAATTCAAATGAGATTGTACTCTTTTCAAAAGAGGGCGGGGCTACAAACACCTGTGTCAGCATAGTGACAGATCCAAAAACAAGACTAGCAAAATCTTCAAACAAATCTCAAAAGAAGTGTGTCAGAATGCGTCAGTCTTTAGAGATTTCAGTATTCATTTGTGCATCCCAAAACTCCACATTTATAATCCTCTTAGTCTTCAGCCGGTGAAAACACCAAACTAAGACGTGCTTCTCACTCAGGGCTGCCTATGCTAATGAGGGTGAGATAGTCACTAGTGGGCGGGGCTTTCCCTCTCTGATGACACCTACAAAGGGAGAATGTCAATCAAAGTGTTTCTGCAGACTGTTTTAGTCAAGTCTGATTATAAAAAATAGAATAAATTAATTTGTACCATTAGAGGCTGGATATATTCTAAATCTCTTATAAAAATGATTTTTGCATAATAGCTCCCCTTTACGTGTCTGACAACAAGTTAAAATCATGAACAGCGTGCTGAATAACATCACGTTTAAGAGTGAAGTCGTGCTGGACTGACTGTGCAGCGATCTTGATGAACTTCTTGAGGAGCTGCACTCGTTTGCTGAGCGCGGGACACAGACAGACCTCCGTCACCACCCACAGCTGCACCTCATTGAAGCGCCGCAGGAACAGGTCCAGATTGGCGGTGGTCTTCTTAAAATGATGTCGGCCGAACGTGTGGTAGATCAGCTCATGCTGCAACACACACACATCCACTAAGAGTGACTAGAATAGCAGTCTTCAAAGAAATGATCGGCTGTCTGCTCACACTTTCAGGCGTATGCGCTCCAGAATTAACCCCAAGTTAACAGAGAAAGCTTAAACTATTTCTTTAAGACAAGTGTGTGTGTGTATGTGTGTGTGTGTTGTACCTCATGCACACAGTGGAAGAGCTCCCAGTCGTAGAGGGTCATCTGATGGGCCAGATCTTTAGAGCTCATGAGCTCAAACGTGGACATGGAGCCTGCAGACGGTCCCTCCTGCTCGGGCAGCGGCGTCTACACCAACAGCCCATTAACTGATCAATTAATCAGCCAATCAATACCTCAGCGTATGTTTGATCCTGCATGTGTGTGTGAGTGTGTTTACATGCAGAGCCTCTCACACACCAAAGAGTCGATTTGGTCCCTCGGGCAGACGAACAGACGGCCATTAATGCTGAGAGATGAGAAGATGGAAACATCAGACGGCTTCAGAAGCTCTTTATCTGAACACACAAACACACACACACACACACTCATCAATACGCGAGTTAGATGCTTTTAAAGAGTGTGTTAGAACAGATGTCAGCTATCAAACATTTAAGCCACTGGTTATTATGCTATCACAGTGCCCCTATAATGAAATATAACATACAGTTAAGGTCAGAATTATTAGCCCCCCAGTATATTTTTTTCCTATATTTCTGTTTAACAGAAGGAAGTATTTATCTTTGCCATGATGACAGTACATAATATTTGACTAGATATTCTTTAAGACACTAGTATTCAGCTTAAAGTGACATTTAAAGGCTTAACTAGGTTAGTTATGGTAAAGTTAGGGTAATTAGGCAAGTCATTGTAAAACGATGGTTTGATCTATAGACTATCCAAAAAATATATAGCTAAAGGGGGTTAATAATATTGACCTTAAAATGTTTTTTAAAAAATTAGGAACGTACTTCATTCAAGCCGAAATAAAACAAATGAGACTTTCTCTAGAAGAAAAAAAATATTATAGGATTTACTGTGAAAATTTCCTGCCTCTGTTAAACATCATTTAGGAAATATTTAAAAAAGATTAAAAAAAAATTATATTAATTAATTAACATATTATTAATATACATATATTAATATATATAATATAATAATATAATATATATTTTTTATATTATTAATTAATATATATTATTAAAAAACAACTGTATTATTCTATTTTATTTCTGTATAATGTTTTGTTTAGTCAAATTAAATGAAGGTATTTTATTTCGTTGTTTCGTTTATTTCGTAATTGTGATATGTGTGAGAAGACGACAAAATCATCTTCACTTCTGGAAGACTCCATCTTGCGTTGTTTTGTGATCTGTTGATGTTCACTAATGTTTTGCACTCCTTCTCAATGCATGTCTTTAATTTACCTCAGGTTAGCACGTTTATTTCTATGTTATGCTTATTTTTTTATTCAGTTTTCATTTTCTTCAGTTAGTTAATTGGCAAAATCCTCTAGTTTAGTTAAAAGTTTCTACAATATGTCCATAGAAATCCATGGACAAAACAGTAAATAAATAAATAAATAAATAAATTAATTAATTAATATACAAAAATAACAAATAAATAAATAAAACATAATATATAAAGAAATAAAATAATAAATAAATAAAACCTAATAGATAAATAGATAAATAAAATGTAATAAATAAATATCTAAAAATAATAAATAAAAATTATAATAAATAAATAAATAAATAAATAAATAAAACATTATAAATACATACATAAATACATAAATAAATACAATGTAATAAATAAATAAAACGTAATAAATAAATATATAAAAATAATAAAATAAAAAAGTATTCTAAATAAATAAATAAAACAAATAAATAAAACATAACAAATACATATGAAAATAATGAAATGATAAATATAAATAATGATAAACAAATAAATAAAACATAGTAAATAAATATATAAAAATATAAAAAAAATAATAATAATTAATTAAATAAATAAAACATACTAAATAAATAAAATATAATAAATAAACTAATAAAAATAAATCACACATAAAATAATAAATAAATAAAACTTAATAAATAAATAAATAAACAAAGTGTAATAAATTAATATAAACGTAATAATAAGTATATAAAAAATAAAAATAATAATTAATAATCATAATAATAAATAAATACATAAATAAAACATATTATATAAACAAATAAAATATAATAAATAAATAAAACGTAATAAATAAATAAATAAAAATAAATAAATAAATAAATGCACACTTATTAAAAATGGGTTTTCTGTGAGGGTTGGGTTTAGGGGTAGGGTAAGGACATATAATAAGCGATTTTTACAGTATAAAATACATTATGCCTATGGCGAGTCCTTGTAAACCACACATAAAAGTATGTGTGTGTACCATGTTTTCCTTATGTCCCCACAAGTATAACAATACGAATACAGTACAATACAATATATAAATGTGTGTGTGTGTCTGTGTGTGTGTTGACCTCCAGCTGAGTTGAGATGGATGAGCAGCAGATCGTCTCCTGAGCTCAGTTTGTCGGATACAGCAGCGATGACCTCTCTGACGGATGCAGACACGGGCACACGGATAGTAGAGTAGGTGTGATCACTGCAGTACACCTTGAAGAGGACTACACCAAAAACAATACACTTACACTAATACATCGCTTCAAATAATACAACACGCTGGTTCACGTGCTTATTGAATCTAGCTATCTATAGGGCTTTATTCTGTGATAACAACCTCCTGGATGTACTTCATCTCTAACTTAACCTGTATAAATGGATTTTGCAGAGGGCTTCCAGACTCACTCTCGTCTGTGCTTTTGATGGGCTGTCTCTTCTGAAGCCTGTCGTTCCCTGTGCTGAACTGACGCAGCAGGACTTTGTGCTGAAATAAGCGAGAGAAAGAGGACTATCACATCACACAGATTCAGCAAACGCCACAGAAAATGCTCTTTCTTTCCTCTCACCTTTTTCTGAGAGGGTCTGCCGTCATCTGAGCTGCGAATAAAGGGTCGTGACTCATGAATATGCTCAAAGGAAACGTGTTAAAATGACCTCAGATCTGTGAGCTCTTACTTCTGCTTGATGATCTTCTCCAGTTCGGGCAGATGGTCCTTCAGGGCTGGAGTGAGCCTGGAGTCTTCACACACCATCTCATAAAACTCCTGCAGTGAACAACACACTCCGACTGACAGACTGAACTGTGCATTATGAATTAGGGCTGGGCCACATGACAAAAATCTCATATCACAATTTAAGTCATCTTAGATCCTGATAAAGATATACAGAGGTTGGACAACTGAAACTAATTCATTATCATGGTGTAGGGCCTCCTTTTGATGATGATAATGCTGTCAGGAAAGAATCAAGATTCAATAAAATAAGATTCAATAATGTTCAGAGGCTTGCAGACTGGGCTCATAACAAAAACCTCCAGCAGAGGGAGCTGAGGAGCACACAGAAGGGTGCAAACTCCTGACAAAAATAAAGAAATATTAAGGGGTCGGGTCAGTGTATCTTTTGTTCATTGGATTTTTATTTTGGAAACAGATTTTGAAAAACGAAAAATGAGTCGCTTTTGAGGGCGAAGTAGTGGCGCAGTAGGTAGTGCTGTCGCCTCACAGCAAGAAGGTCGCTGGTTCGAGCCTCGGCTCAGTTGGCATTTCTGTGTGGAGTTTGCATGTTCTCCCTGCGTTCCCGTGGGTTTTCTCCGGGTGCTCCGGTTTCCCCCACAGTCCAAAGACATGGGGTACAAGTGAACTGGGTAGGCTAAATTGTCCATAGTGTATGAGTGTATGTGTGGATGTTTCCCAGGAATCGGTTGCCGCTGCGTAAACACTTGCTGGATAAGTAGGCGGTTCATTCCGCTGTGGCGAACCCGGATCTGACAAGAAAATTAATGAATGAGTCGCTTTTGATTTTCGCTTTAAAATGGAAAAACAGAAATTGAAATTCAATGCGGTCTTTGATTTTGGTTGTTGAATTGTAAAACGAAAATCAAAAAACGGCTTTTTTTCATGATCAATTCAAAAATTATTTGGTTTTAATTTTTTTATTTTGAAAAAAAAAAAAAATACAAGAAAACAAAACGAATAAAGACTTTTTTTTTTTTTCTAGGTTCTTAAACCAGACAGGGGTGCGTTTCCCAAAACCATTGTTAGCCAACTAAGGTTGCAAGTTCTGTTGTTACAAACATAGTTTGTTGATTTGCCATTTCCCAAATTCGTTGCTCATATGAATATTCGCAAACTCTGTCGCAAACTTGTACACTTGCAACTACACCTCTGGAGCTATATTTAGAAACATAGTTCCTGGCTGTGTTCTATTCCCACTTACCCCCCCCCCCCCACTGAAATTATTAAAAGTAAAAAGCATTAAGGCCGTCTCTCTGTAATTTGCTTCCAAGCTATTTGTACAGTTCAGTTTTAGCGATCTTCACGTTTACAGTTATGTTCCCTTTGCAGTGCACTTTGAAAACATTGATGTCATTTTGAACACAGCCTCATGGCGAAAGCTATAGGTGACCTAATATTTAAAAGCAGAATTTATGTTACGTCTCAAAAGCTTGTGAAAACAAAAAGCATACGTTTATACTTTTCATTTATAGTGGGTTATTTATTAAATATCTGTACTGTATATGACATGGGCCTGCTGGTTACATTTCTGCAGTGGTTTACATGTCTCAAATTGAAAAAGTAGACTTTACAAAAAAATAAAAAATAAATAAATAAGCAATATCCTACTTAATTGTCATCATCATCATTAATATTATTAATAATATTATTAAAGTATGTTTTTGTCATTTCTAATAAACAATAAATATTGCATTTCATTTCTTAATAAATAGCCTCATCGTTTGTTTATTTATTTGATTTATATATGATATTAGAATACATGTTAGCTTTTGTAGGTGATATCTTTTAGAATAGAATATTATAATGTTCAACTTCTCAAAGGCAAACATAGGCAGCACATTGAACACATTCTATAAGTGGTCAGAAACTTGTAAATAACTCATGAAAGAATAAATTTATGCTAAAACCAAGCACACTGCTGTTTTTCTCGTCAAAATCCCAATAAGTTTGATGTGTCACATGACCCTCTTCCTATTGAAAAAACAAAAGTTGGATCCAAGATGGCCGACTTCAAAATGGCCACCATGGTCACCACCCATCTTGAAAAGTTTGCCCCCTCACATATATGCTAATGTGCCACAAACAGGACGTTAATATCAACAACCATCCATGTAAATGGCCCAGCTTGTAGTACCATATCTGTAAATTCAATATATAATTTCTATATATATAATATATATAGACCACACATTTCTTAAGTTTTTTAACATTTAAAGTATCTACACAAAAAACGGTGACTAAAAAGTGGTTAGATGCAGCGGCTTGGACCTGAAAAGAGTATTTCAACATCACGACTTAACAAACAGATAAAGTATTAGCGAAAATCGAAATAAACGAAACAACAACTACTAAAAACACGTGGGAAGAGAGAAAGCAGACCTGTATGAAGCTGAAGGAGCTGTCCTCCTCCTGCAGGTGGTCCGTGTTGATGGAGGCCCACTGTAACACCAGACGCACCACCCTGCGCTTGTTATTGAGAGTGTAATCCATCCGCTCCTGTTCACTGCCCTGGGACGCCTGAGCGTGATAAGTGCACGAGCGCTAAGGACTTCAAACACAAGCACAAACTATGGGTTCAGCGACTCTCTTATTCGTTAAAGACTTACTTAGGAAGACAACGTGCTCTTTGGACTGTCTACAGAACAAACCACTGTTATACAATGACTTGCCTTATTACCCTAGTTCGCCTATTCAATCTAGTTAAGCCACTTTAAGCTGAATACTAGTATCTTGAAGAATATCTAGTCAAATAATATGTGCTGTCATCATGGCAAAGTTAAATAAATCAGTTATTAGAGATGAGTTATTAAGACTATTATGTATCTTCAGTCCGTTAAACAGAAATTGGGGGAAAATAATATACGGGGGGGCTAATAATTCTGACTTCAACTGTATATCTTTGATGGCCAGAGGTTAAATAAATAAACATTTATTTTTCTTTCCTGCTGAAAAAACCACCTTAAACCAGCATAGGCTGCTTGGCTGGTTTTAGCTGGTTGACCACCCTGGTTTTAGAGGGGTTTTGGCCATTTCCAGGCTGGTTTCCAGCTATTTCCAGCCTGGTGTTAGCTGGTCAGGCTGGGAGATGACCAGCTAACACCAGCTTGACCAGCCTAACCAGGCTGGGAGCCCAGCTAAAACCAGCTGTGTCCATCTTAAAGGGCACCTATGGTGAAAAATCTACTTTTCAAGCTGTTTGGACAGACATGTGTGTAGGTATAGTGTATATACTGTCATATTGGGGTGAAATAAACACACACAGTGCTTTTTTTTTATTTTACCACATAAATACGGTAGACCAATTGATGCGGTTTTCAGATCAACCGCGACTTTACGTAGGAGTGCGGTCCCGCTGCCCACCAATATTGATTGACAGCTGCGCGCATTAACATGTCTCCATAGTAATGCATATAATCATATCGACAAGACAGGACGAGCGCAAAGCAACCGGGAATAAAAGGTCTGTTCATTTTGCTAGGATCATCAATCATCATCAGACGTGATCAAGAGTGAGTTTTACAAGTTTAACATGTTTTAAAACATGCGCACATGTGTCTGCCTGTGTGTCTACGCTATGTATGTGCGTATGTGTCATGCTACGTGTATGTGCCATGTGTGTGTGTGTGTGTGTCTGCGTGTCTGAGCTGTGTGTGCGTGAAATCATTGTTGCAACTCCACAAAAAATGCATCCCTGGTGAAAAATCCAGCTTAAACCAGCCTAGGCTGGTTTAAGTTGGATTTTTCAGCAGGGATATCAAATACTGATTGGTGAAGTTCTTACTGTGGTATTTCTCACAAACGTTACGTGAGATCTGCTTCCTGAGGCAGCCGAGGGCGGCGATTGAGGCTTGTTGCTGACAGGCACGTGGGATTGGTGGGCGGGGATGACTCGCCTTAAAGGCCCAGTGCAAAAAAACAGCTACAACCTTTTCCCAGCTATAATACAGACACTTCAAACAGCTCTAATAAATATTCTGATGGGTGTTTTGAGCTGAAACTTTCCTTTAAAACTTTAAAAATACTTATAATAAATATGAAAAAAGGGGTAACCTATGTGCCCTTTAAACCAGGCTGGTCAAGCTAGTTTTAGTTGGTTTTAGCAGGTCATTTTCCAGCCTGACCAGCTAACACCAGGCTGGAAATGGCTGGAAACCAGCCTGGAAATGGCCAAAACCCCTCTAAAACCAGGCTGGCTGACCAGCTAAAACCAGCCAAGCAGCTTAGGCTGGTTTAAGCTGGAATTTACAGCAGGGTTTCTGGAGACCTGATGTGGTGTTTTTGTTGAAAAGCAGTAGGGCTTTATTAAAGAAGGATATTGGGTCATGAGCAGTGGACACAGCTGACTGTTCGGGACAAAAACACAGTGCATGAGCAGAAAGTCATCCAGAGCAGGATCTACAGAGAAAAAAGAAAAGACTATTTGTAACATGAAGCATTTTAATGTGATTTTTAAAGGGCAACAGTGAGGAAAATCATCTTTTGTAAGCTGTTTGGACAGAACTGTGTGTATATAAAATGTGTCCACAGTCAAACGGGATCCAAATCCCAGTGATTTTGAGGCCCACTTATTGTCATTTAGTTTATTCGCAGTGTATTTACATGATATTTCGTACTCTATGTACGTATACCTGACTCTGAGAATTGGCAATCAAGTTTCATGGTCTCCAGAAGGTGCTCCAGAATCTTCTCTGGAGTTCCTGACATCACAGTGTACCTGAAAGACAGTCCAAGATCACACTTTGATTTGGAGTTTGAGGTTGTTGATATTCTCAGTTTACACTTATACTATAGTAGTCTTAAAGAGGCCATATGGTGCTATGTTGAGGTTATTTTGTTTACTGGGTGAACAGGTGTGGATTAATAAGCTTTATTACTCTCAGAATACTTGATTCTGATTGGTCGTGACATCGGGCTGCACGGTGGCGCAGAGGGTAGCACGTTTGCCTCACAGGAAGAAGTTCGCTGGTTCAAGCCTCAGCTGGGTCAGTTGGAATTTCTGTGTGGAGTTTGCATGTTCTCCCCGTGTTTGCGCAGGTTTCCTTAGGGTGCTCCGGTTTCCCCCACAGTCCAAAGACATGTGGTACGGGTGAATTGGGTCAGCTAAATTGTCCGCAGTGTATGAGTGTGAATGAGTGTCAGTGCTTAATTTGTGAATTGTGAGGTCCCGGAACAGATCGGGGTTACCGATCCAGCATGTTACCTGAGGATAGAGAGGTGCGGCGCACAAAAGTGTTGGGGTAGAGTGGTGCGGTGGATGGCACAGGGGGTCGTGAACAATAGTGAGTGGGGGGGGGGGGGGGTGTCGCGAATGAAAGTGAAGAGTTGGGGAGTCGGAAGAAAGTTTAAGTAAACGGCTGATGGGGGAGGAGGCCGGTTGAGGAGGGGGATCGGTAAAATGAGGTGGTGAATCCGGTTTTGGCGTGTTCCGGCACAAATAAGCCCTGATGAGTTTGTATGGGTGTTTCCCAGTGATGGGTTGCAGCTGAAAGGGCATCTGCTACATAAAACAAATGCTGGATAAGTTAGCGGTTCATTCCGCTGTGGCAACCCCAGATTATTAAAGGGACTAAACCGAAAAGAAAATGAATGAATGATTGGTTGTGACATATAAGGTATGTTATTCTCAGATAACAACTACAGAAACGAATAACACGGGCTTTGTGAATTGCGAGGTCCCGGAACAGATCTGGATTACGAATCCAACATGTTACCCGAGGATGGAAAGGTGCACTATAGTGAATGAGGCGGGGGTGTCGCGAAAGAAAGTGAAGAGTTGGGGAGTCGGAAGAAAGTTCAAGTACACAGCTGACGGGGGAGGAGGCCGGTTGAGGAGCGGGATCGGTAAAATGAGGTGCCAGATCCGGAGTGTTTCGGCACAAATTAAGCCCTGATGAATTTGTATGGGTGTTTCCCAGTGATGGGTTGCAGCTATAAGGGCATCTGCCGTGTAAAACGTATCCTGGATAAGTTGGCGGTTCATTCCGCTGTGGCAACCCCTGATTTATAAAAGCACTAAGCCGAAAAGAAAATGAATGAATGATTGGTTGTGACATTCCAAGGTATGTTATTCTCAGATAACAACTGAAGAAACGAAAACCACGGGCTCACAGCCCAAACCCAACTCCCCCCTGTTTTGAAATTTTAGCATAATAAATCTGATATATTAGCATAACTGCACTCAGTTGCTTAAAAGCTTATAGTTCAGTGAATATTGTTGTCAAATCATGGAGACAGAATAAAGCTTACCCCTGTAAAATGTTTAAAAGAGGACCTGCTTGCGTTACATTTTGACACATGCTTGAGGTGTTTGGCCAATCATTGCACACTGGCTCAGTGGAGTAACTCATTCATATTTTCTTTTTGAGTGGACTAACCCATTCAAAGTTTGGGCTTTGTTTGACTCCGTATGTGACTAATAAAATGTGAATTCAAAGATCTTAAACTATGCTAACAAACGCTAACAAAGTCAATGTTAGTCTAATGTTTACAAATACAACGACTTCTTGTCAGATGAAAACGACTGTACTTGAGAGGAGAAGAACTGGAGCTCCTGTTGTTAGCTTTCTCCAAAACCAGCACGTCCTCTTCATGTTCCTTCAGACGGACAGTGTTTGCCTCCACATCCTGAACACAGCCACACAAACACACACACACACACACACACACACACACACACACACACACACACACACACACACACACACACACACACACACACACACACACACACACTGTAAAAATGCAGGGTACCACAGAAGTCATTCAATGTCCCAACACAAATCAATTAAGTTAATACAACAAATTGAAGTGGATTGAACGTAAAACAATTAAGTCCCAAAACACTCAAGAATTGTGCTGTTTCAGCTCATTTTAATTAAGTAGTCTGGACAAACAGGAAAAATCCTTGTTTTGAATACATGAATCGCAGTATATGGATGAGATTTGGTGGGCTGTTTACATAAAGGAAAGTAATGAGAGTGGACAGAAGTGATGTGCTCAGCTGACGGTGGATTAGCACTGTTGTGTCAGTGTTAGATGTCAGCAATTTAACAGCACAGAACTGAAATCTCACTTACAGTTCAGCTATGAATGGAATCAAACGAACGCCTCTCCATCTGCATTTACACTGCAAACCGTATGCATTAATTGTGCTGCATGACAATATAAAACCGTTTCTACATAGGTTTAAGGCAAAATTTGGGTAAATAGGAAATTCCTGCTTATACATGGGCCAATTTCCATCTGCGCCACATGAGAGGAGAAGTAATCCATTGAAACATGCAGCCACGTGTTATGTGTTGTTGTAATTACGCTTCATGACCAGCAGAGGGAGCCGCAAATTGATGTTACAGCAGGGCTTTCCTTCATATTTAGTCTGAATTGTTTATGGCTTTATGTTTGTTTATAGCTACTACTCTTTAATTTACATAAAATTTATGGTTTAACCAAAAAAAAATTCATGTTGTTTTTATTTCTGTTGAACACAAAGGAAGCTATTTTGAAGAATGTTAGAAACCTGTAACCATTAGCTTCCAAAGTAGGAAAAAGTAGATGCTTTCTAGCTTTCCAGCTTTCTTCAAAATATCTTTCTTTTGAGTTCAACAGAAAAAGAGAAGAACATGTAAAGATGTTTGTGACGAGTGAAGGGGTCAGTAAATGAGGACTGAATTTTCCGTTTTGGGTGGACTGTCCCTTTAACAGTTCACAGTCTCCATTAGTTCACACTGCACTTTAAAAAATAGTCACCTAAAGCGAGAGGGGTCTGGCTGCAGACTCGGTGCAGTGCAATCTGAGCTGCATCCAATGCCTTTTAATGCGCTCACCTAACCCCACCCCTAACTCTACCCATCACAGTGACGTCACTCGCTCTATTGAGTGCATTGAGTCTGAGGTTGCATCGCTGAGTGATGCAATCTCAGCTTGCAACATCAAGGCTGCATCAAGATACTACTGCCTATGCTGACAGGATCTAAATGATTGCTTTGTTTATGCAGATTACCACTGTATACAGTGTAGTAAAAATATTACATTAATCAACAAAGAACAATTAGGATTTACTTGCATTGTTAATTTGTTATATTTTGTCAATTTATTTTATACTGATGCAGTAATCTAAATAAATGATCATATTAAGGTGCTAAAAGGTTAAATAATAGACAAGGTTAACTTTATAGTTGTTAGTTAATTTTTTATGGTCATTTCATTCATTAATTTTCCTTCAGCTTAGTCTCTTTATTAATCAGGGGTCGCCACAGCAGAATTAACTGCAAACTATTTCAGCATATTTTTTACACAGCTGCTGCCCTTCCCGCTGCAACCCAATACTGGGAAACACCCCTACACACTCATTGACATTCATACACTACGGTCAATTTAGTTCATCAATTCACCTATCACCTGCATGTTCTCCCCGTTTTCATGTGGGTTTGCTCCGGTTTCCCCCATAGTCCAATCATGCGCTATAGGCAACCCAGGCTCATTCAGGAAACGTAGCCCTGCAGACGTTTCTGGAGACCGCAAAATACGTCCAGAGAGATCCGTATTTGTGCAGTTTTTGTTTTCACTAATCCGCGAGAGGCTGCTGTGTGCACTTATTTGCGTCTCGAACGCCTCGCGCGCTGTTCTCGCGTAAAAAGCCGTGGGCGGCCGCTGTCGAGCGACTGTCTGTCCGACTGAATCACTGAACGATTGACTGGGCCAATCGAGCCGACCCAGCCACCCTCCTTCCCTAAACCCAAGCTACGATTTTCAAAAGCCGTCCAGAAAAAGAAAAGCCCACGTCTGATATTGACCGAGTTTTTGGATTCCAACGCATGCTCAACTCGTTATGAACTCTATTTTTTGTCTTACCTGATTTCTGGAACCGCTGTTCCACGGACTCGAACCCGATCGTCACCGCAGCTGGCTCCTCCTCCGGGACTTTGCTTTGCCGACGTAACACGACAAGTTAACCGGACAAACTAGTTGCACCAGGAAAACTAGATGCAGCCATACGTACCTCCGGCCAGGTAAATCGCGGTCTCCAGAAACGTCCACGGGGCTACGTTTTCAGAATGAGCTTGGGTTGGCCAATTGAATAAACTAAATTGGCCGTAGTGTGTGTGTGTGAATGGTTCTGTATGGGTGTTTCCCAGTGCTGGGTTGCACCGTCCAAAAACATGCAACTTAAGATAATCGATTAATCCAAATTGGTACAATTATCCTAGTAATTAGTTATCTCTTAAGAGCAATCACTATCTGTTCATTAGCGCAAAGAAGTCGAGGTTGCTTCTGGACACTGTTAACATAGGGCTTCCATTTGCCATAGTGTGGTTTTCACTGGCATTTGTGGATGTAACTATGTCACGGTTTACAAGCAATCTGTTCATTAGCTACTACAGCAGGGAAGTTCTCCAGATCTACCTGAGCTCAAACTCCCCTTTCGCCTTGCAAATGTGAGGGAGCCCCGGGCTCGAGGATCTTATGAGCTTAGGGCTCTCCCGGGACATAATGCCAAACAAACTTTATAATCAGTCATCAGCTAAGTGTAGTGTGTCTTTGTTGTTGAGTGTATTTGTGTAGTTGTGACTGACGTTGTGTTCTGACCCTGAGGATTCTGTTGAAGTCTTCTTTATCCACCCTGAGGAAGTGGCAGAAGTCTTCTCTCAGCACGATGGAGGCGGCCCGAGGAGCGTCATTCACCAGAGCCAGCTTCCCGAAATCATCACCCTCATGTAGAGTACACACCACACCCTGAACACACACAACACAACACACTGCAATCAATACTACTGAATGAACTGAATACACAAAGAAACATACAGTCAAACACACTCTTAACACTCTAAAACATTCACACACGCACACATGCACATGCTCACACATATAAAAAACCTGTATTTTATTGCAGACAATACAACAACCATTATTAATGTGTTCCTTATTGTTTTATTTCAAAGCGAACAAGTACTCCAACTTTGGTTCTTGCAACACAAATAGTTGGGACAGTAAAGCATTTACCACTTTGTAATGTCGCCGTTCCTTTTTACAAAACTTAAAAGACGTTTAGGGACTGAAGACACCAAGTGATGAAGTGTTTCAGGTGTCATTTTGTCCCATTCTTCTTGTAAACAAACCAGCATACATAAAATGTCGCTTTTGGAGGGACGACTGCGCTGGCTGATTGTATCCCTGCTCATAGTATACTATATAATTTGTATATATCACTTTAGAAAAAATATACAATTCGAGAATGAAGCGCGGCTGCGGCTGGAAATCACTTTTTTAATGCATCGCAAGCGTCGAAGGTCCATCATGAGTCACTTTCTGGAGGATGAGTGAATTACTTTAGCTAAACTGCGACATGATTATGTTCCAGAAATATAACCACCGATCCATCAGAGAATGATTCCCCCCCATATTCTTACCACAAACGAACCGCTCCAGGGTTCATTTAAAAGCGTACCGAGACCACCTCTTCAAGCAGGTCTCGGAGTGCTTTTTTGGTCCGCTTTTGGTGCAAACTCGAGTACGATTGCTGCATTCACACCCGCCTAAACGAACCGCACCAAGAGGGAAAACAAACTCTAGTGCGATTCAACTGAACTAAATAAGGCAGGTGTGAAAGCACCCTAACGCCTGTTTCACACCGCAAGCGTCAGCGGCGCATGAGCAGAGCGTGAGTAGTGTGTGTTTTCGGCGTCCATGTTAACAGATTAGAGCTTTCATACCGCACGCATCAGCAGCGCGTCAGAGCGAGGCGTGAGCGTCGCCGAAGCAGCAGTGCAGCGATAGTTTCGGCGCTGGGTCTATTTTTGACGCGCTGCTCACGCTCAATTAAAGTGACAGTGCATTGATAATGACCAAAACACATTGAATGACAGTAAAAAGTAGCAATTTTACCCAACAAATGCGTTAATAATGTCAAATGGTTTATATATAGTCATTCAAATGAACTTAAAACGATTAAAAACGGCAACAAACATTTATTTAGGCCCGAATTACAAAACCAAATGTAAAACAATTTTAGTATCAGCTTTGCTTAAGTTGCACACTAGTGTTGTAGGAGAGGGGAAATAGAATATTTACGGGATTTGTAGTCCATAGCGAAGTGTATTGTGGGTAGTGTAGTTCGGCACGCATGCTGGATGATGTGAGCTCGCTGTGTTCTGTGCAGCTGAGCAGAGCAAGAAAGTTTTAATCGGCTTTGTTTTATGTTCACTCGAGTTATTCCTACCGGGAGCTGTTTGCACTGTGAATCTAACAACACGAAAATAAGTAAAAGAATGGCATGCATTGGTTACTTTTGTCCGTCTCATCCTCTGCACGAGCATGAACTAACGAGCTGTTATTCTGCCGCTGGACATCACTGAAGCGGAGAAAGTAACACTAGTTTGATCATGTATAAATATCATAATAACTATATTGTATAAATATGATTATAATTAGGTCTCCAGCAACCTGATAATCAAAAAACAAATGACATGACATCACAGGCGACTGTCTTCTGACTGTTGACACTTCTCATATAAGTTAGCTTGAGACGCATACAGTACTACTTGATCTATAAAATTTGTAAAATAAACATTTGCAGGTTAAAGAAACAGCATAGGAGGGGCCTTGGTGCAGATGAAAAGTTTAAAAAGTGTATTTGTAAATAGAGAGACATGGGTAACTAGATAGAATAGACAGAGATAGGCTGATCTCTGCAGCTGCTGCCGAAGAGCTGCGCGCTGCAGACGCAGCTGGTGTGAAAAGGCAAACGCCTGCGTGCTGCTACTGCTCGACATACGTGCTGCTCACGCTCTGCTTACGCGCCGCTGACGCTTGCGGTGTGAAACAGGCGTAACACACACACACACACACACACACACACACACAGTCTGTGTGTACTGTAATTGGCTGGAGAGTGAGAAGCTGCTCTCTATTATCATCACACATTAAAGGCTCAGCTCTCTGAATGTTGAGTTTCAGCTCTGACCTTTCCATAGATGACCACATTGACGGAGCCCTTCAGGATGATGTACCAGGACGTCCCTTCTTCACCCTGATTGAACACTGCAGCACAACACATCCATAATCACTCCAACATCACACACCTCTTATTAGCATACTGGAAATAATGACATTCATTGACTTTTCTTAAACGTGAGTAAACTGTGTGCGTAATTAAGGTTACAACAGGTTTACGCTCTTACGCAAGTTGTTTGTGTATGCGAGTGCATGTTTGTGTTTGTGTGGAAGTGTGTGTGCTTGAGTGTTAGTGTGTGGAAGTGCCTATATGTATGTTAGAGTATGTCTGAGTGTGTGTTTGTGTGTGTAAGTGCATGTTTGTCATAGTCTGTGTGTGCCTGTGTGTTATTAAGCTTGAGTTTAATCTCGAGTACAATCGCACATATCTTCATACAGCAGTCATTTAAATACAATCCAGGATCATTCCTATTATGTACCCCTGTATACACTTCTGGAGAGTGCCAAATACGTCGCAGGGGCTAAATTTTTTCAGTTTTTGTTTTTACAAATCCACCAGAGGCCGCTGTGTATGCTCTTTGAGATCTCAAATTTCCAACCCGGGCTCATTGTGGAAACGTAGCCCCGCGGACGTTTCTGCGGACCGCGAGATACGTCCCAGGAAGTACGTATTCGAGCGGTTTTTGTTTTCGCGGATCCGCGAGAGGCCGTAGTGCGCGCTTTTTCGCGTCTCGGGCGCCTCTCGGGAGCGCGTGCCGTTCGCGCCCGAGCTGTTCTCGCGCGAAAAGCCGCCGGATCGGCCGACCCGGCCTCCCTCCTCCTACTCCTCCTTCCCTAAACCCAAGCGACGGTTTGCAAAAGCCGTCAAGAAAAAAAAAAAAAAGCAAAAGCCCTCGTCTTCGATTTCAACCGCGTTTTCGGATCCCGCCACGTTCTTGCCCTTATTTTTCGGATTCTGTTTTTCATCTTACCTGATTTCTAGAACCGCTGTTGCCCGGACTCGATCCCAGTCGTCGTCCCTGAGGCCAGCTCCTCCTCCTCTGGGGCCTCTGCTCCGCCAACGTAACGCTGTGAGCTAAGCGGACAAACCGGTTGCATCGGGAAAGCCCTCCACTCGGAGGCGAGCCGTCGGCCGTCGAGCGCGAAGAGGAGGAGCGGAATGGCACCACACCGCCCCGCAGCGTTCGCTCTAAAAAAACTAAACGCGGCCGTACGTACCTCTGGCCATGTAAATCGCGGTCTCCAGAAACGTCCGCGGTGCTACATTTCCAGAATGAGCTTGGGTTGCAAATTTCTCTTACTAGTGCCATTCGTGCCTGCTGTTCTCATGTAAATCCACAAGAGGCCGCTGTCGACTGACTGACTGACCCACCCTCTTCTTTCACTAAATTCCTACTGACAGTGTTTTCAAAAGCACTGATTTACCCAATCACATACTTCCCTAAGTGAGGTTTATTCATAAACTAATTTCGAGAGGATCACGTGCTTATGATTTATCACGGCTGGTCTCGTATTAGCTAATCACTATCTTCCAATCATACGAGCCCTAAGCTACTATGAATAACCACAGTTTTCAGTCCATTTTATCTTCGTTTGGAAGAAACCCCCCTTTCTCCCCTATTCTCCTCCTGTACCTCTGATCGGGCGGCACGGCGGCCCAGTGGTTAGCACTGTGAGCCCCACAGCAAGAACACTGCCGGCCCTGGTCCCACCAGGCCGGTGGGCGTTTCTGTGAGGAGATTGTATATTCTCCCCGTGTCCGTGTGGGTTTTCCCCGGGTTCTCCAGTTTCCTCCCACCATCCAAAGACATTCAACATGCATAACAATCAAGCATTTGTCTGACCCCTTTTGTTCCCTTGGCTACCGCAGCCGGGGAGTTCTGAGATCCACCGAGCTCAAGGAACGGCGTCATACCACCCTATAGTGTTCGTTTTAAAGATGAAATGCAGCAATACTTACTTTTGGCTACATAATTTGCAATCTCCAGAAATGCATATAGGGTTACGCTTTCAGAATGGGTCTATGTTGTATAAATCTGTTCAGTCCTGAACGGCTTCACTTCTTCTTTAACATCCGAAATTCATGGAATAATAATTTTGCCACTTACACACTGTGCCTGCTTTCGCATGCGACTCAAATATTAAAACACCAGCGAGTTCCCTCTTCACCTGAGGACAAAACACAACAATAAAAGTCTCGATTAGTAATGAAACAAATGTCAGCATGTAATTACACTGAGGAAGAACAAAGCCCCATTCATCAAAGAGCAGATCATATTTAAACAAGCCTGCAACTCATGTATTAAAGGGAACCTATTATGCAAAATCACTTTTATAAGGCGTTTAAACACAGTTGTGTGGCAGGAGTGTGTGAATATAACCAGAATATAATGCAGTGTAAATGAATATCAGCTGCTTCAGTCCAACATCTACATTAGCAGGAGGATGAAAATGGTGGACTTTTCTGCAAGACAATGATCCAAAAAAGCAGAGGAAACTTGTTTTCAGAGAAAGAAAATCAAGCTGCAGAATGGCCCAGCCAATCACCTAACCTGAATCCAATAGAGAATACTAAATAAAGCTCAGATTTGATAGACGAGACCCACAGAAGCATCAAGATTTTGACACTCTGTTGAAGTCTGTGAGAAACTCACATCTGAGCAACGCATGCGGCCTTATTCTCGAAGAATAAGAGGCATCTTTAAGCTGCCAGCACCAAAAAAGCCTTTTATATAAAGTATTAAATACGTTTCAGTAGATGAGGACTTTCTCCTTATGTCATTACATCGTTATTACACTCAACTAATTTTTCAGATTTTTATTTTTAGTTTGAGTTTTCACCAAAAATTGCTTCAATTCCATGTCAACAGCTCCTTTAGAAATATTATTCCCAGGAAAAAAACATGACCTCTTTATTAGTAATGCCCCCCACTGTAGATGGAGCCTTCTTAATGAAAAAAAAAAAATCGGTAACACTTAACAATAACAGCACATGAATAATGATGTATTAATATGTAAACTAAACCTTACTTTATTATGAGTTAATGATGAGTTAAGGTATGCACTAATCATGAATTAACTTTAACTACAACATGAGTCACATGAGTTCATGTGTAAATAACGGCTACCTTAATTACTTGTTAGTTCATGTTGTTAATGTATTAATTAACATTTAAGTTTAAGCTAAATGTAACCAACATGAACTCATGAGCTGTTGGTGTATAGTTATGTCATGACTTTACTTGGAGGGGCACATCACTATTAACTCATCCTTAACTACTCATGAACTCCTGTTCATGTTGTGTCACGTTTGGGGATTGAAAACGGGAACAAAAAGGGTGTAGGATCCAAGTGCAGTTTAATAATGATGATAGTGAATCAAGAACAACATACCAACATGGACGAACAGTGGTAGAATGGCTGTATCCGCTTGTTAAGTGTGACGTCACGTGAAGCGGCTTCCAGGTCCAAGCGCTTTATTCAACTGAATGGGGAGACTCATGAAATGGTAATAATAAACGTTTACAAAGCGATTTAATAATTTCAAAAATCACGATCGCAATATATATGTCTATGCCTAATATCCGATGGCCAGAAAGTGATTCATAGTTTTATAAATTGTAAAATTTTTGGTATTTGTTATGCAGCAAGCCCAGAGAGTGTTGTGTAAACTATGATTTTATATAAAATTAACTTTAATGTGTGATAGGAATGAAACGTGATCATAAACGAATGATTTCTCAACTCAAATGAATGGCGGCTTGGACCTGGAAACAGTATTACATACGTCACAAACACGTCACCACTTAACAAGTGGATAAATAGTCCAGCAAATTGACGGGAAAACAGAGACAGCTGTGAATACAAATCAGTGTAAGTGAGTTCCGGTGTGTGCGCGTGGTATGTATGGATTTGTAGTTTTTGGCCGCGCTGTAGTTCTCTCTAAGAATTCGTGTCGAACTACAGTGGCCTCAGGTGGTTACTAGCAGTCATGACATGTTGATGTTGACAGAAAACTTAACATCTATTGTTATTTAGTGTAAACTCACTAGTTGGACGTGCATAAGGAGTTCATGAGTAGTTAAGAATGGGTTAATGATGATGTGCCCCTCCAAGTAAAGTCACAACATAATTAATACATTAATTAACAAACAAGCATGTGCTAACAAGTAATTAAGGTAGCCGTCATTCACAGATAAACTCATGTGACTCATGTTGTAGTTAAAGTTAATTCATGATTAGTGCATACCTTAACTCATCATTAATTCATAATAAAGTAATGTTTAGTTTACATATTAATACATCATTATTCATGTGCTGTTATTGTAAAGTGTTACCAAAAACACTAAAGCTGATATAATGCAGACTTACAGTGGTGGAGAGATGGGACAAGGCTTTAATGTGCAGCAGCTCCTCATAAATGATCTCCAGGTCATCGACCGTCCTCTGGCCGGGTCTGCGGTGAACAGGACAATAATGCCATCAGCTACGAATGACTGCACAACTAATACTCCCATTTCCAAGAAGTTTTGTCCTGGTGCGGCCACTATTAAAACTTCCAGGACACAGGAATTCATATTTCTGAAGAAACTTGGGATGAGGCGGTTAAAATTATAAACAAGACTTCATTATGTGCGCGTCTTAATCTGATTCAGATGAAAATTCTTTACCGTATTCACTACAGCAAAACCAAACTGGCTAAAATCCACCCCAATATAGATGAAACATGCGATCGCTGCAACTCATGCAAGGCAGACCTAACCCATATGTTCTGGTCATGTGACCAACTGAGACGATTTTGGTCTTCAATATTTGAAATTTTAAACTCAGCCTTCAATTTAAGAATTCAACCAAATCCAGAAATGGCTATTTTTGGAGTAGCAAATGAGGACATCCATGTAGCCAAAGAAATAGATAACGCCTTTGCCTTTGTAGCAAGAATTCTTATGGAGTGGAAATCACCAACGCCACCTAACCTGTCACTTTGGCTTAGTGATGTGATGCTATTTCTGAAAACAGAAAAAAAATTATATTTTCTCAGAGGATCAACCAAAACATTTTTCAAAACATGGGACCCTCTAATAATTCATATTTAATATGATTATAAAATTATTATAAAATATAAAAATATATAAAATATATAATAATTCTTTTTTTTTTTTATTAACAAGAACCAGCATGTACAGTTTTCTTATACAATACAATACAACCACTTTACATTTCTTAACAAAAATGAAATAAGTGAGAAAACATAAAGGAGAAGGGGAAAAAAACAGAGGAGAGGGTACATAATTATCAAATTACATACAAATATGTTTCGCACATTTTCCAATTTTAGGTATTTACAAGAGTTAGTAATGCACTTTTCTTTTTTTCTTTGTTTTTTACAGGAAATGCATATATACAAACATTTCATGTAAAAATGTTAAAGGAGGAGCACATATTAATTGTTTTACTTGCTTTTCTATTTTGAGACTTGGAAATCACTTTTATATACATTTGAATCTCTTTTTCTAACAGCATGAAGAGAGGTTTGCTTTTGGAAAACTTGGATTTATGTATGTGAAATTTACATAATAATAAAATAAAATTTATAATAAAACCAGCATCTTTTAAAGAGCGACCCTTAACATAAAAACCCAAAATCACATGTTTATGAGATAAGGAAAAGGTTTTTAAGATATTATGAGCAATAAAAGCTTCAACATTGATCCAAAATAGTCGAGTATATTGGCAAGACCAAAATAAATGTGAAATAGTTTCATTAAAGCTTTCGCAAAAACAGCTTTCTAACTCAATATCAATTAAAAATTTTTGTAGAAATAATTCTGTGGGTTAAACTCTATGAAGTAATTTAAATGATATTTCTTTAGCCTTGTTTGTAATACAATATTTTTTGAGGTAAAGACCAAACTTGAGTCCAGTTTATATTATTAAAGATATTGTTCCAGTAAAAAATAACATACGGTGTAGACATATTTTCTTTTTAGATTAAAGATCTAATTTTGTGCTTATTAGGCTTAAATCCAGAGAAACAGATAAACCCAACCGAGGTTTGTTCAGGTTTAGGAGGACAAACAGTAAGTGCTGATGTACAAACACTGCCTTTATACAGCATATGTATGCCAGTGGGTATTGACTAATGTACTCCTCCAACCATAAATTCCCAATCCCACCCCCTTTTTTATTTATTTATTTATTTTATTTATTTAATTTATTTTTATTTTATTCTCATTTTTTTTATTATATCTTACTATTATTAATATTTTTTTTATTTAATGCATTTCCTTTTTATAATAATTTTAATATGTTCATTTGTCTCTATTTCAAATGTATGAATTGTTAAAAAAACAAAACAAAACGAAAATAGCTTTGTCATTGAATAGCTTTAATGTACTGTAACTTTTGTAAAAACACAATAAAAAAAAACAAACTTCCAGGACATTTAAAAAAGGTCTCGGTTACGCACTGTTTGCGCAGGATCATCCGCAGATGAGCATCAGGGCCGATCTGAGACAGCAGCAGAAGCGTGTCCTGCAGCTCTTCGTCACTCTCCTTCTTGTCTTCCTCACTCGGCATTCCTGAATCCTCACTTTCGTCATCCAGAAAGCGATAAAACAGATATTTATCTTGGAAAGTCGGCTCCTGGTCCACTGCAGCAGAACACATCAAGCAGAAAACAAACACACGATCACAACTACACTGAAAATGCATTGAGTTTACTCAATTTCTTAAAGGTGTTTGCAGAAAATTAATCTGGGCTGAATTTAAATAAACAAATTAAGTTGAATATTACTGCTTTTCTGTTTAAATTTAGCACAGATAAATCATACATTACCTGAGAAAAGTCTTGTCGCCTATCCAAGTGTTAGGAACAGTAAATAATAACTTGACTTCTAGTTGATCATTTGCTATCAGAAGTGGCTTATATGAAAGGTAAAAGCCTCTAGATTACGCTTATTTTACAGAATAAAATCTGATCATGCCTTGATTTTAATTATTCAATTAAGACAGTAAGGTCTGACTCTGCTTAGACAAAAGTCTTGTCACTGAACAGAAATATTGTCCAGTATAGGATATAAAGTCATGCTGCAGTGGAGACAGAATGAATATTGTGTCTGACTCCATCATGAGCTTGGAGGACTTGATGTCAGTGAAGCAGCAGGGTGAAGGTTCACGCAAACTGAAGAGCGAACAGCTGGAATGAAGATGGTTGCGTGTTGGGCTGAAACCCCTGAGGGCTTTCGAGACAGGTGGCGTGGGTGACATAATCAGGGACACCTGGATGGAAAGGGGTCTGGCTGCAGACCTGGTGCAGTGCAATCTGGGCTGCATCCAATGCTTTTTAATGGGCTCACCTAACACTACCCGTCACAGTGACGTCACTCGCTACATTTGAATGCATTGTGTCTGACATTGCATTGCTGAGTGAAGCAATCTCAGCTTGCATCATAAAGGCTGCAACCAGATACTATTGCCTGGATGAGTGCCCTGCCCCGAGTCTCACGGAGGAGCCCTGAAAGCTAAAATGAGGAGAGATGCCAGTGCTGGGAGAGAGAGAACCGGGCCCCGACATATTGTTTTACTTTTGCTTTCGGTTTGACGGAAGTGTCTGTGAGGAGCTGCCGCCCGTTTGCTTTATTTGTTTATTATAAAGTATTTAAAAGTTCATAGGTTATCCGCGTCCTTCTTCCCGATGTTCAGGTGGCCATCTAACTTTATTATATTAGTATTTCTCAGTTCATAGGTTGTTAATCAAATTAACAATTAAGCAATATTTTTTTAACTGTCTACAGAACAAACCATCGTTAATCAAATACTTGCAATTCAACTCGGTTAATTACCCTAATTAACCTAGTTAAATGTCACTTTAAGTTGTATAGAAGTGTCTCGAAGTATTTCTAGTAAAATATTATTTACTGTCATCATGACAAAGATAAATGAAACAGTTATTAGAGATGAGTTATTAAAACTATTATGATTAGAAATGTGTTGAAAAAAATTTGCTCTGCATTAAACAGAAATTGGAGAAAAATAAAATACAGGAGGGCTAATAATTCTGACTTCAACTGTATAATTCGCACCCTGACTACAGTACTGTGCTGACCCTGAACCTTTGGCGTATGTTAGTGTATTATGAGGTTTACCGTGGTTAAGCACTCCCTCCTCCAGCAGCACCTGCCACATCCCTACAGCCTGAACACGAGAGTGAACACATGATGTGTGCTGCAACAGCCAATCAACGAGCTCAGTGCCGATGCAGCTCCGCCTACAACACACACACACACATGCAAGAACAACAGAGATAATCAGATGAGACATTTTCAAGATAGGGCTGTGCCATTATAAACTAATGTATTACACAGCTGTCTGGAATACTTGATTCTGATTGGTCGGTCAAGACATAGCAAAGCTATTCACAGATAATAGCTGAAACTGACCTCATCTGTATCTGCTTGTTTGTTGTTTGATATTTTTGACTGCGCCATCTTGTGTCAGAATAATGCACAGGTTAGTGTATACTCCATTCAGCCAGTTTAGTTTCTGTCCGTTTTGTGTTTTTGACTGTTTTTGACTGTTGGGCACCATGTAGAGATTAAATATTTGGCAGATTAGTGTATATTACATTTAGCCAGTTTAGTTTCTGTCCGTTTTGTATTTTTGACTGTTTGGCACAGTCTTGTGACTGAATAATGCGTAGGTTAGTGTATACTCCATCAGCTGTTTACATCAACCCAGGCTGATTCTGAAAACGTAGTCCCATGGACGTTTCTGGAGACCACGAAATACGTCCCGGGAGGTGCCTATTTGTGCAGTTTTTGTTTTCGCGAATCCGCGCAAGGCTGCTGTGTGCGCTTTTTTGCATCTCGAACGTCTCTCGAGAGTGCCGTTCGCGCCCACGCTGTTCTTGCATAAACCCTCCGGAGGCCGCTGTTGAGTGACCGTCTATCTGACTGACTGAATGATTGACTGGGCGACCGGCCAATCGGCCGACCCACCCTCCTTCTTCTTCCCTAAACCCAACCACTTTTACCGATTGACCCATCTGTCCGCTTGCTTCCCTAAACCCAAGCAAAGGTTTACAAAAGCCGTCCAGAAAAAGAAAAGCCCTCGTCTGATTTTTACCACGTTTTCGGATTTTACCACATTCTCACCCTGTTGTGAACTGGTTCACTTTATTTTTTGGATTCTGTTTTTGTCTTACCTGATTTCTGCAACTGCTCTTTTCCGGGCTCGAACCCGGTTGTCGCAGTCGTCGTGGTCAGCTCCTCTTTGCGTCTCAACTCTCTGCTGTTTAACTGGACAAACTGGTTGTGGCAGGAAAGCCCTCCACACAGAGGTGATAAGCCAGTCGGCGAGCACAAAGAGGAACGCCGTCACACCGCTCTGTAGCGTTCGCTTAAAAAAATTAAATGCAGCCATACGTACCTCCGACTACATAAATCACGGTCTCCAGAAACGTCCGCGGGACTATGTTTTCAGAAAGAGCTTGGGTTGGTTATCATTTCTGTCAGCTTTGCGTGTTTGACTGTTTGGCGCCATCTTGTGACTAAATAATGCGCAGGTTAGTGTATACTCCATCAGCTGTTTTCATTTCTTTCAGGTTAGCATTTAAAAAACAATTAGTCAACTATTACGGCTCAGATCAATGTTTTGTGTCTACCTTTTTACATTTTGTGGCAAGTAGCCGTGTAATAAGTGGGATAAAGATCATCTAGGACAAAAACACACGCATTTTCTCGCCCTTTTTTGATTGGCAGGACATGCACAACCCTGACAATTGGCAGTTTACTGGCAGATACATTGTTGCTATGTGTGTGTCATTATATATTTCAATATGAAAAGAACATTAACGAAACCGTTAGGCTGCACTCGCCTGTACGTCTTCAGGTGGTATTTCCTGTCTCTTATCATATGAGGCGCTCGAGATAAAATGATGTTTCGTAGCACTTTTCCTGCCCGAAGTATCTTCTCTGACGGCACCTGAGAGACAAATATACACTGTAAAAAATGTTGGGTTCCACACAATGGATTTGTGTTGGGGCAATGCGACAGAATCAAGTTAAGTTATTAGTTTTTACAACTTTAAGTGGATTGAACATAAAACAATTAAGTTGTCCCATATAAAAACCTCAAGAATTGTGTTGTCTCAGCTCATTTTAAGTAAGTAGTTTGAAGAAATTCAATCATTTTGTGAGTGTTGAGACATACAATCTTAAAAGACAGAGACAGACACTCATATAATGTCAGAAATCATCACTGTGATTGACAGCTGTCAGACTCACAACAGGGCGAATGTAATGATGATACCTGATTAATGGGTTTGGGATGAACTTTGATGGGATTTTCAATGAATGATTTCTGGAAAACAAAAGTAGATGATTTGCGATTATTGGGTTTGTACCGGTAACACGGCTATAAACGAGTGAAAACATTCAGCTGATGTTTAAATCTGAAAGTGCACCATGTTGAATTTTTTAAATGAAAGATTTGACCCACAGTCATTTAAATGATTCGTCATTCGTCCAGATCTTTTCCAAATATGAATGAGTGAACATTAATGAGTGAACGTTCAGGTGATTAAGGCAATAATCTACTCTGCTACAGGGGATTTGTCCGTCATTTGTTAAAGGAAAGATCAGAAAAGACTGTTCATGTATGGGACTTTTTCAGAGGAACTTTACAGTGCACAGTTCTTGATCAGTTCCTTCCTCCATTTCACAAGTGTAAGTAAGTGCGATTAAAATGGCTGCCTCCTTGTTTTCTCTAGCTTGCAAGTTGAAATGTGTTTTGTACTGTATCAGGTTAACTCTTTATATTCATATATCGTGTCTGAAGCTATGTTGAAAACGCGATGAGTGCCGCTTTGTTTACGGATTTAAATGCGTTTGTAACCTCGCGATCCTCTGCGGTTTGTCGTTGCTATGGCCACCATCAGCCCTTCCTGCACCCTGCTAAAAAATCCAGTTTAAACCAGCCTGGTTGGCTGGTTTTAGCTGGTCGACCAGGCTGGTTTTAGAGGGGTTTTGGCCACTTCCAGGCTGGTTTCCAGCAATTACCAGCCTGGTCTTAGCTGGTCAGGCTGGAAAATTACCAGCTAAATCCAGCTAAAACCAGCTTGACCAGCCTGGTTTAAGCTGGACATAGCTGATTTTGGCTGGGCTCCCAGCCTGCTAGGCTGGTCAAGCTGGTTTTAGCTGGTCATCTCCCAGCCTAACCAGCTAAGATCAGGCTGGAAATGGCTGGAAACCAGTCTGGAAGTGGCCAAAACCCCTCTTAAACCAGCCTGGTTGACCAGCAAAAACCAGCCAACCAGCCTAGGCTGGTTTAAGCTGGATTTTTCAGCAGGACACACATGCGGCGGTCAAGATTCAAAATAGTTTAGCTTTTCCCACTGTGTGCATTATTATTGAATGTGCCATTGTTTTTACCTATGGTTAAGAATAGAGCAGTATGCTGGTGTTTAACTGCATTGCTTTAATGCATTCCTGCATTGGGCTCACACATACACTCTGCACTCTGACTACCTCAACAATGTTAATAAGCCGTGATGGCATTTCTCTCTTTCTCACACTGAACGCAGTCAACCAATCACAACAGACTGGGTCTTCGGACCGATCAGCGCAGATTAGCATCATGCTAAGGAGGGGTTTGGGAACAAATGAATCGCTGAACAAATCATATGTGAGAGTTGCAGAGAACTAGCTGCCGGCTAGTCCTTGACTAGCATTACGTTGTGTGTTGTAAATCAATAAGCAGTGTGTATTTTTACACTATTATCCATCTATTTTCCTTTCCTATTCTACAACCATTCATGTAATCTGGCAGTCTTCGTCAGCAGAAGGCTGATCTGGGAACAGCTTATCTGTCCTGCTGTACTGAACTCAGGCCAGTGCTGCATTTATAACAAACCTTTTCCATTATTCATCACCATCCTCACCCAGGAGGAACATCTACAACAGCTCATGAGCACATAATCAAACTCCACACCGTGATTATTATTACACATCATTAAAGTACACATGAAGTCAAAACTAACCATACTGATTTTGTTAGCTCATATTGCTAGTTTTGTGGTGAAGAATTAATCTGTGCAAATCATTAGGGAAAAAACGATAGTCTGCCCTTGTGTTCTTTAATTGAAATCTAAAAATGCACTTCCTGTTTGTTTTCAGTTAAATTCTCAGATTAGGTCTGTCTGAGGTATTGGGCGGGGCTAACATACTTAACCACGCCCCTCCAACTGACAGTGCTTTGAGAACAAACAGAGATGGTGAGCAGGAAAAGTCTGTTAGATGGTAAAAACTCTCCTCAAACCCTTCCTGTGTCTCAATTGCAAGAACGCAGAGAACGGACTTGCGTTCTTGTGGAGACCGGTCTTGCCAGTTGTCCTCTGAAGAACGAATTCAGGAGACCGCGAGGACAGGGAACGCGTCCTGTGAGAAATGAGATGCTGCGTTCTTCCTGATGGTCACGTGACCTTCACATGTTTTTAATGGAATATCTTTTAAACATTACAGCATTCATACAACGATTTATTGTTTTTCCCCTTTTCACAATATAAACTCTGCATAAAAACATTATAAATATACGTTGCACAATATAAATAAAACAGATTTTAATACGAATTTCAGCAAATAAGCACCCTTAATGTGTTTATACCTTTATTAGGATGTCCATGGTGATGTTTATATTTACCGTTTCATTTAGGGAAACTCCTGAGGTAAATAAGTGATATCTCTGAACTTTAATAATAAATCTAAATAAAATGCTGCGCTTCCCATCTCCAGTCGCAATGACTTCTGGGACTTCCAGAGTGAGTTCGGTGCCAAGTCTGCATCGGTGCATCCTCGATATCAAGAACTCATCCGGGAAGTTTCACGGTACCTCTGTTATTGCGGTCTTGAGTATTGGAACTGAACTTTGGCAGCTGATGATGACGTTACACGAGAACACGAGGACCACTGAAGAACGCATATTGAGTAGTGATGGGTCGTTCTTGAAAGATTCGTTCAATTTGAACGAATCTTCAATATGACTCGGGAACTACGAGTCCTCTCAGGGAGTGATTCGTTCATTTGCGAATGCGCACATTTGTGCAGGTGGTATAGTCCATTTCAAGTCTTTTGAGTCATTTATTGCGGAAAGACAGAAGTCAATCATACGCGTTTAGAGCCAGAAAAAGAATTGAACCGTTCATCTCTCGAGTCCTCGGGTTTGAGTCATTCTGTCACGTGATGAACGAATGACTCAAGAACCAGAAGACTTGAAAGGTGAACTAACGATCATGGCTCCCATTGGCTCAGACTGTGTACTTTGGTTAAGATTAAATGTGACTGTCAGTGTAACGTGAACGAACCCCTGACATTTGAAGATATAAAGAGGTGAGCTGAGCAAAGAGACAACAATACCTTCATAGACAAAAGAGCAGGTAAACATTGAATTATTATTTTCTCCTTCTTATAATGTGTTAGGGTTAGGGTTAGCCGTGTAAATAGCCGCGTGAACATTTGAGGTTACTCGCTTCATTCGCGCGTCAAACCCCGCTTCATTCGCGTGTCAAATTCACTTCAGAACAGACGCGGATTCGCGTGATGGGCAGGGCTTCTGTCTGCCCCGTGACTCTAGCTTCATAGCTAAATGGCTAACATGGATTTTATGAAGAAAATAACAGTGTTTATGTGCTTTATGAAGGATGATTAACAGCGTCATATGTTTAGGGCCGTGTCTGAGACTACTACATCCTTTTGGAGGTGCATCCAGCTCTGTGAGCTCATAAACTCCTCCAGAAACTAAACCTGGCTGATGGAGGTTTTCAGCGGTGCTTCTGACTGAGCCCAGCCCAGTTTAATGAACTTTTTGTCTGTGTCTGCTGGAGGATTTCCCCTGGGACACCGACAACAGGCGATACGTCACAATCACGCCCCCACAAAAGCAAGCTCCTGATTGGTTAACGCGTCGCGAATGTCCGTTGAAGTTCAGATTTTTAAACTCGAGTGATTCGCACGAAATGCGCATTAAGCGTGTCAAACACGCAAAACACTCAATTCTCGCCACGCCATTCACGCGCTTCACGTCATGCACACCGCGCTATTCGCGCAATTCTCGTCATTCGCGCGTATCACGCCGCATGATGTCTATTTGCGCGTTTGCATTGACTTAACATGTAAATCACTCGCGCTTGATGCGCGTTCCGCGTCTGGTGTGAACGCAGCATTATAGTATTGTATTTATGACTTATTTGTCATGTGATCAACCATTTGGGCCAGTTGTAGATGTATTTGGAAGCAATTCGTAACATTTTAATAATATTTTGGCTAATTGAACCAAATGAACGTAATGACTTGAAAAAAGATTCATTCAACTCGATGAACGAGACTCAAAGATCCGTGTCAGTAAAATGATCCGAACTATTGAGAAGCCTCTTTTCCCCATCTTTCAAAATGACACGCCTACTTTACTAAATCCAATCAGCTGACAGTAGAAAAATCAAGCCACGCCCACTGTTTTCTCATTTAATATTCTGTTTCTCTAGGAACTGCGTCACAATACGAAAAACAAAAACAGTCGCATCTTCTGGATGTACAAGGGCAAGCTATTGTTTTTTCTTAATGACATGCTCAGATGAATTGTTCACCACAAAACTAGCAATGCGAGCTAACAAAATCAATTCATTTGTACTTTCAATAACTCAAACTGTCCGCAGTCCAGCCAAGCTATGCTAATTCAGAGCGGAACTGGTCCAGCAGACTCTGCGTGAACTCATCCAAGATCAAATCAGTTTCAGCGCGTCTTCCAGCATCATCTACACACTTCGAGGAAGCCCTTTTCCTCCATTACGTGAGCATTCAGTGAGACGGATTCTGCCACAAACAGACTTAAGTGAATGAAACAACGCAATTATGGAAATCACAAGGCCCGATATTGACCGCCTAGCATTTTCAGATGCGTCCCTACAGAATAAAACAAAGCAAAAACAAGCACTTATGACCATAAACGCACCGATAGGAGGATGGTGAATGAGCCAGGAGGAACAGGAACACCTGGATATATTCAGAAATGGAAAGAGAGGATGTCGAGAGTTCATTTCTGCGTTTAAACAAATGCTGAGATGGTGGGAAGGAAGGATATGGCTTTATCAGAACTGACGCAAACGGGGGAATGAGAGTCCCTCTGCTCATCAGGTGAGACAAACACACTGTCTGAAAGGGACATCGAGAAGCTTTTCTGGTGGACAGATAGAGGAAATTCATTTCCGCCACACATTTTGGACTTTGTTTATTTACAAAGTGAAGTTTATTCATAAACTAATTTCAAGAGGATCACGTCATTATGATTGAACACGGCTGGTTCTGCATTAGCATGTATGATCCACCAATTAGGCCATTCCTAACCCACTATAAAGTGCCAGGGTTGTCACTACAGTCATCTTCGATTTGAAGAATCCCCCCTTCCACCCCTACCTCTTCACCTCTCCCTCCATAGGGCGGCACAGTGGCTCAGTGGTTAGCACTGTTGCCTCACAGCAAGAACATCACCGGTTCTGGCCCTTTAACAGACCGGCGGTCGTTTCTGTGGGTAGTTTGCATGTTCTTTCGCCGCTCGTTTGTATCAGATTTTACAGCAGCACTGGATTTCCAAAAACTAGCACATATTTTAAAAATATGACATAAATAATGCACATATTGAAGTATTGTATGAGAAACAAGTGATAAAAAAGGCAACGTTCAAAATAAAAGTCCTATAATTGGCAAAGAAAATACTCATTTGAGGTGCATTTGTCAAAAAGTGCACTCTAAAAAACGTTGAGTTACTTATTAAACCCAATGGTTGAGTTAAAAATATTTGGTGCATTATATTTATTGGTTTATTTTTTAACCTTTATTAAGTTTTTATTTAACAACTCAATCAGTTGGGTTAAAAATGTAGAATTTCAACAGTCAACTGATTTAACTGACACTGAACAGCTGTATTATTATGCGTGCGTAATGTTGTTTTTGCTTTATAACGTTTAAGCTCTAACACAATAATGTTGTTTTTTTTTTAAAATCAAATTAACTTTGCATTGCACTGAAGAATAAAAGTCGTATACTGTACATGGCATGAGGGTGAAAAAAAGGTGATATTATGGCATAATGTATGGGAACAGTCATCAGATGTTCACGACTTCCAACAGGAGAGTGAACATGGTGAAGAAGAAGATTTTAAAGACAGAAACAAACCTTATTTAAGTGCTTGGGTGATAGTCCAGGAGAACTGTTGCTCAGATTCTCTTTGTCAGGCATTCCTGTGTAAAAAAAAGTGTGCAGTGAATGAACTAAAATAGGATTTGTGGAAATAGCCAACAATACATTGTCTGGTGCAAAATGATCGACTTTTATTTTATACGCCAAGAATGATTGCTATATGAAGTGAAGATCATGCTTTTTAAAGATATTTTGTAAATTTCCAACTCTAAATATATCAAAACTTCATTGTTGAGTAGTAATGTGCATTGCTAAATGCTTAATTTGGACTTCAAATGTGTTTTTCTCAATATTTAGACTTTTTGGAAAAAGCTGGAATAGCTGGAATCTGCTGTTTAAAACATATGCCGGATAAGTTGGCGGTTCATTCCGCTGTGGTGACCCCTGATAAATAAAGGGACTAAGCAGAAAATAAAATAACTGAATATTTCTTTTGAATGTTCACGGTAAAAAATGGATGCTTCCACACCACTCTTGACCACTTTTGTTGTCCCAAAAAAAAATCTCAAGAAATGTGATGCTTCAGCTCATTTTAAATAAGTAGTCTGAACAGTTTGAGTGTTGCTCAAGCGTAAAGCAAGAGTTTGTACTTACTGTCAGCGTTTGGGCCGCTGTCCATAACACCATAGGGAGGGACCAGCAAACCAGCCATACACTGACGATAATTCTGAAACACACAAACACATGAGACATCCCATGAAGACGACATATACACGTAGAGATGACTTAAAGAAACACTCCATATTTTAGAAATAGGCTCATATTACAACTCTCATAATGTTAAGCAGATGAGAAAAGAATCCATTCAGCCAATCTCTGCGTCTGGCAGGAGCACTTTTAGCTTAGCATAGCATAGATCATTGCATGGGATTAGACCATTAGCATCTCTCTCGAAAATACACAGTGCATAAAGAGACACTGAAAAAAATGTCCTATTTAAAGCCTGACTCTTTTGTAGATGTACAAATTAAACCTGATTTAACTTCCACAAACCGGGATTGAACCGGTTGATTATAATTGTGCTGACATAAGGCTGTGGTGATAAAGATGGTAAAATCGCTGTAATTCATTACACACATTCACTGTTTTTAAAAACGTTTTAAACTTGTAAAACTCATTCTTGAACTCATTTGATGATGACTGATGATCACAGAGCGCTGAACAGATCTTTTCATCCCAGTTGCTTGTACACGTCCTGTCTTGTTGATTTGATTATACGCGGTACAACGAAGGCATGTTAATATGTGGCTGTCAATCAATTCTGTGGGCGGGGAAACCGCACTCCTACGTCACGCTGCGGTCGATCCAAAATGGGAGCGATTTGGATCCTATATTTAACATCAGGAAATTAAAAAAAGGAGGTTTATTGTGTTTCTATCACCCCAATATGACTGTGGACAAACTATACCTACACACAGTTCTGTCCAAACAGCTTACAAAAGATGAGTTTTATCATAGGTGCCTTTTAAATACACAAGTTATTGCAAAAAACAGCAACAATTTAATATAGTTGTATGTTTCTCTTGATTTTTCTTGTTTATTCGAATTTTATTTTATATTTTCCTCCAAAATATACATTTTTAGACAGTGATTTTACACTATTTTCTGTTAGATTAGCTGCAATTTTAGCTTTGCTACTGATTAATCTAATGTATATACACAAATGTAATATTGTAAGGCATCCTATTAAAAATATGAATGTAAAAGAGCCCTCTGTAAACGGTGAACTCATTTATACTGAGCACTGTAACACATAACACAAGCACATAAGCATCGACACACACATTTATATGTTCAGCATTATGTAAACACTATGATCCAGCGACACAATATAACACACACACACACATTAAATAGACAGCATTAACCTGAGTCTGCTGCATCCCTTCAAGGTTTTTCTCTTTAGTGCCTAAACACCCTATTAAGTGTCTTGCCATAGTCCCCTAAAAAGACGGATTTTGCTTTGGAGCTGCAGGTCAGGATGATGGAGCGCAAATAAAGAAAGCAGTTTGAGGGGAAGAGGAGTCTGTAATCTTTTTAATCAGCTCCGACTGCAGATCAGAGGAGATTACGCTGGATTAAATCAATATTTCTGAATCAAGGATCCCGCAACACACACCCAGGCCACACACACACACTCATATTATACATATTTGCTTCTGACCTATGTGTGCTGTCTGACACCACTGATACACACACTTACAACACGGCAAATCCACGTGTGACTTTTCACCTTATACAGTCATTCATAATACATGCAAGTGTGTATTCATATTTCCCATTGCGGTTTCTTTCAAGCTTTTAAAGAGGAGCTATTATGCAAAAATCACTTTTATAAGGGGTTCAAACACAGTTGTGCGGCAGCAGTCTGTGAATATAACCAGAGTATAATGGTAAAAATGTATTAATGTTACTATTTAAAATCACACTTAATAAAAAAACAGTCTCAGAAACACTTTGATTGACATTCTCCCTTTGTATGATGTCATCAGAGGGGGAAAGCCCCGCCCACTAGTGACCATCTTTCCCTCATTAGCATAAGACATTAGTCTTGTTTTAAAATCTGCCACTATGCTGACACACAATCATAGCTCCGCCTTCTTTTGAAAAGATCACAATCTCATTTAAATTTAAAGCGACAGTCACTAAATTAAGATCAAAGCCTTTAAAAGGTGCAGTTTTAAAGAGTTATAGACATCATTTTTGCCGTATTTTCAGCTGAAACGTCACACCCACACTCTAGAAACATCAGAGTCTTTTTTTACATGTTGTAAAAGGTAATACATATATTATTATATTATTTTATGCTGTTTATCTAACCAATTATATCCTTCAAGATATAGGGCCCTATCATATTCCCATGGCAATAAGGTGTAAGACATGTTTGGCGTGATTTGTTGCTATTTTCAGACCAGCGCAACTCAAATTTTCATGTTTTGCTCCCCTTCTTGCTGGTCTTAAAAGGAAGTTTGTAAGGGCACATTGTTGGCGCGTTGTTATTTTGAGGAACTGAAATAGACCATGCCATTAACCAACTAAAACCTGGTGTAAAGTCCAGCGCAAAGCGCGTAAGTTATGCAAATATGCAGATCCAAAACGATTACACATTGCTTAATACACACAGGATGTACAGCGATACACAAATATCTTCACATAGGCGCAGTAGGTAGTGCTGTCGCCTCTCAGCAAGAAGGTCGCTGGGTCACTGGTTCAAACCTCGGCTCAGTTGGCGTTTCTGTGTGGAGTTTGCATGTTCTCCCTGCCTTCGCTTGGGTTTCCTCCGGGTGCTCCGGTTTCCCCCACAGTCCAAAGACATGCGGTACAGGTGAATTGGGTAGGCTAAATTGTCCATAGTGTATGAGTATGTGTGTGTGGATGTTTCCCAGAGATGGGTTGTGGCTGGAAGGGCATCCGCTGCGAAAAAACTTGCTGGATAAGTTGGCGGTTCATTCCGCTGTGGCGACCCCGGATTGATAAAGGGACTAAGCCCACAAGAAAATGAATGAATGATTATAAAAACCACTGCCTCTATACCTTCATCACCTCAGGGAGCTGTTTTTCAATTTATTTATGACAATTTATTATTGTTAATTTAATCGCTTGCTGGAAATTACTACTGAATTTAGAAATAGTTTTGAAACAAATCTTTACACTTAACTAACAAAATTAAATATGTAGACTAAAGGATGTTTTCAGTGGAGAGCGTACAACATTGTTTCCTTACTCCACGGATATAAAGGAATAAAAATTAAAAGTAAAGTACAGAGAAAGTCAACACAGCCTCATTCTGAAAACGTAGTCCCGCGGACGTTTCTGGAGACTGCGAATTATGTAGCCAGAGGTGCGTATGGCTGCATTTAATTTTTTTAAGCGAATGCTGCAGGGCGGTGTGACGCCGTTCCTTTAAACGCTTACCGACTGACCGCTTACCTCCGTGTGGAGGGCTTTCCCGCTGCAACCAGTTTGTCCGGTTAGCTCGTCGTGTACGTTAGCGGGCTTGAGATACAGAAAGGAGTTGACCATGGTGACCGGGTTCGAGTCCAGGAAAGAGCGGTCCCAGAAATCAGGTAAGACAAAAACAGAATCCAAAAAATAAAATCAACGAGCGAATAAACAGGGTTATGAATGCAGTGAAAATCTGAAAACATGGTAAAAAAACAGACGAGGGCTTTTCTTTTTCTGGACGGCTTTTGTAAAATCATCGGTTGGGTTTAGGGTAAGTGGGTGGGCGGGACATTCGGTAAAATTGGTTGGGTTCAGGGAAGGATGAGGGTGGGTCAGTCGATTGGCCGGTCGCCCAGTCAATTATTCAGCCATACAGTCAATCAGATGGATAGTCGGATGGATGGATTTACGCGAGAACGGTTCACACTCGAGACATTCGAGATATGAAAAGGCACACACATCGGCTTGCGGATTTGCGAAAAACAAAAACTGCAAAAATAGGTACCTCCCGGGACGTTTTTCATGGTCTCCAGAAACGTCCACGGGACTACGTTTTCAGAATGAGCCTGGGTTGGAGAAAGTAAAGAGGCTGAATAGAGGAGGCTCGTTCTTTATCCTCACGCTGCAGATGCTCTGTTTAACTGTTTTCTTGCTAGAGAAGTGTTCCGTTTTTACACTTACAAAGTCCACCATTTAAATAGCAAATTGCTTCACGGCACAACCCAACTGACTCTTAAAGGGAATTGGAAATAAGATTCTGATTGATTTAATACATGTTATGCTCAAAACACACCTATAACTCATTAAGAGAATAAGCACAACCCTGTTAGACCATGCGCTGAAATAGCAAAAGTGGATTCAGAAATGCCCTTGATGCTTTTGCGCCATGAGCTTTAGACTTTGCGCCTAGATCATTAAAAAAAGAGCATGAGAGAAAATAAAATGTAAAACAATAAAGCAGAAAAGTGAGTTTCTTGTTTTCACTTTTATAAATCCAAAAGCTTCAAACTAAATATGTTACAGTATAAACCACAACAATCAGAGAGCGCACACACTGCCAACATAAGTAGACAGTTCAATTAACATCTACAACTGACATCAAACTCCAGACAGATATAGACAGATAGAGCCGCCGGAAGGCACTTAACCTTGGATTTCTCTAGAGAAAAGCACCAGCAGTTGTACTTTATGTTGCTTTGGACAAAAAGCATCTGCTAATTATAGACATGAGAGAGATTAGTGTCCATTTAGTGTTTCATTCAAGAGAGCGCTCTTTATCCCCAAAGACCATCTCCAATATGCCAATAAATTCAATCCGAATCTGCTAACACAATACAGCACTAAAGACCCATGGGGAAATCTGATATATGGTAATATATGCAAATTACGTAAATGTTTGGATTTCAGAGTTTCAGAGTTCAGATGGTAAGTTTTCTGAAAAAACCTCTGAACATTAATGTATGTTCAGATACATTAGCTACTTTAGGGAAATAATGAGAACTATAACAAAGTTTAGGGAGCTATAAAAGTGCCTGTGCTTCAGCCTGTTTCTAAATTAAGACAATACATTAAAATTAGCATTTTCCTAAGCCTCTTATATATTTATGTTTAGTTATTTATATTTAAAGGCAATAAAAATAACTTATTTTGCCAGATGAATGCTGGATGTTTCAGTCCAGAAGGTGCCAATAAATAAACATCAGTGACTAATGACAGAGAGAC